TTCGAATTTTGGCGGGAAAAAATTTCAAAATTTGGCGGGAAAAAATTTTCGAATTTTGGCGGGAAAAAATTTGAATTTTGGCGGGAAAAATTTTCAAAATTTGGCGGGAAAAAATTTTCGAATTTTGGCGGGAAAATTTTTCAAAATTTGGCGGGAAAAAATTTGAATTTTGGCGGGAAAAAATTTTTGAATTTTGGCGGGAAAAATTTTTGAATTTTGGCGGGAAAAATTTTCAAATTTTGGCGGGAAAAAATTTTCGAATTTTGGCGGGAAAAATTTTTCAAAATTTGGCGGGAAAAAATTTTCGAATTTTGGCAGGAAAAAATTTGAATTTTGGCGGGAAAAAATTTCAAATTTTGGCGGGAAAAATTTTTCGAATTTTGGCGGGAAAAATTTTTTGAATTTTGGCGGGAAAAATTTTTCAAAATTTGGCGGGAAAAAATTTTTGAATTTTGGCGGGAAAAATTTCAAAATTTTGGCGGGAAAAAGTTCAAAATTTGGCGGGAAAAAATTCAAAATTTGGCGGGAAAATTTTTTTGAATTTTGGCGGGAAAATTTTTTGAATTTTGGCGGGAAAAAATTTTCAAAATTTGGCGGGAAAAAATTCAAAATTACGCGGGAAAAAAGTTGAGTAGCACTAAAAAAGCCAAAAGAAGCAGGTCACTAGGTCCTGGTTGTGAATTCTTATAATTTAACAATTTTCCCGATATTTTACCTCAATTTACTTAAACTTATAGGAAAAATGCAATATGCATTTTTACAATTTATGCAAGTGCATGTGGAGTTAAAAAATAGATAGCGGGGAAGCGTCGACGAAAATTGACGGAAAAACTTTAAACTTAATTTTCCTGGGTAAAGCGGGAAATTTCGGAAAATCTGAGCTCATCATCGGAAAGCTGAGGCAATTTCCCATCGAAATGATGCGTTACATTTTTCTTCTAGGTGCATTCAGATACTTTTACAGCGAGTTACAAATTTAACGATTCGACTAAATAATGCCGCGCTGTGCGGCACTCGGATAATTGACATTAAATGTTGTTTATGAACACTTATTTATCAACTTTTTAATAGGATTAAAATTTCTAAATTCATATTTAGGTATGTACTTTCAATTAAAAATGATAAATGTACAAAATTCATTGTGCAACATTTATTATTTTGTACATTTATCGAATTTCCCATGTTATTTCGTCAAAATTGCCCTAGTGCGCTAGTACAGAATTTTGCCACTACGCGGCGTGACGGTATCGTTCAGTCCTCAATATGAGCAATATTTTACAAAGTGGAATTGCAGGATATAGTTTTTATCATGAAATGCAGGCAAAACATCGATTTCGAAAACTAGGTCCGGCAGAAGCTGTGGACATATCTGCTAAGTGGGGAAAGGGCTAACGAGATAAGTCCATATTTTCTGCTACGCAACCACACTTTTAATTTATATGGGTCAAAAGATATCTCATAGTAGGTTAAAATACCATAGGTACAGATCTTTAGTCGTCCGCGTCTAGCTAGGCTCTCGTGCGCAACTTAAAACGTGTTTTTCTCAAAAACACGAAAAACGGAGTTATCTCGTTAGCCTTTTCAACCACAGAAGTATAACGTTAAATGAGTTATTTTATCAAAATCATTAAATGAGGTTATGATCACGAACTGAGCGAAATGATCGACATTCAAAAGTGTGTGACCGCCAAAAGTGGACTTGAGCCCAAATTTTTTACTCTGTATCATCACTATGATAAACCTTTCAATTTTGATAAGTACATAGTCCTTATTTGAACAATTCTAAGAACTTTTTCCAAGTAAAATTTCTTTCCTAGGTGCTTTGTTAACATATAAAAAAATTGACCAAGTTTATATATGGTTTTTTTTACGAGGTGCCATTTTGTTGTCCACTAGGTTGAATTTCAATATTATAACTATTGGACTGTTACGTCTACATCCCATGGACGCGAAAAATATATGTTCCCCCACGGACCCACGGACCCACGGATCGAGTCTCTTTTGATTCGAAAATTTAGGTCGAATCAAAATTTTTTTTCAAAAAAATCGTGTTTTTTGTTGTTTAATTGTTCATAACTTTTGCTCCTCAAATTTTTTGACAATTCTCACACCAGATTCAAAAAGTTCATAAAATTTCACGTCAGAAATGACTATTCAAACATTTGTCAGATACTTTTTTCACAAAGTTTATAGCGCCGGAAAAAATGTGTGAAATTTTGTCCGTTTGTCCGTAATTATTAGAAACTTAATTGCATTTAAATATGAATCATGATTAGATGCGTTATAAACGTTCAAAAAAAGTTGTTGTTATTATGTGTTTGACTTTCAGAAATATCTAGTTACAATAAATTAATCGATATAATTACCCAAGTTGCAAAAATAATCCACTGAAAATGAGAGTTAAAAAATCGATTGGAACTGATACCAATGATGCTGTATCTACAGACTCGAAAACGGCAGACATAAAGTATCCTATGAACATGATAATAATTATTAATTGTATTAACTATACCACTATTACTGTAAAATTCAATTCAGTAATTTTCGATTATACGTACCCATTGCAGTGGCCGAAAAAGCACTCAATATCACAGGCAAAACAAACAAAAAAAAGTCCATATAATCACCATTCAATCCTACAACGTAATAGATGAAACTTGTATAAATCAATGGCTGCAAAATACATCCTGGAATCTATGAAGATAAAATAAGTAATTAGAAAATATTAAAAAATGCTTATTTTACTGATCATTTGCACTGCAGATTTATTAATGTTTTAAAAACTTACGAAAAAGTTGTGTGGGAAATTTCTGCTGGAATTACCCGAACAAAATCCTACAGAAAATCCTGAGAATAATTCTGCAGGATTTCTTGCCGAAATAATTAGACGGTTATGAATCGAGTTTTCCACGAGAAATTATGATGATATCTTTTATCTGCCGGAAATTTACTTTTTTTGCTTTATTTACTTTATTTGCTTTATTTTAACGAGTCCCAAAGAAAATCCACGCCTTCCTAGCGGATTCTGCTTTTCTCAATGTTTACGTATAGGAATTCAGCGTTTTCCTCAAAGATTCCTGAAGGAATTCCGAATTTCCCCTAAAAATCTTCAGGTAAGCGCTAAACTCCCATGGGTAATCCTTCACAAGCTCTCTTTAGGTAAGCGCATAGTTTCTATGGGTAAACGTTGAGAAAAGCACAAAATTCTGATAGGGATTCTTCCGGTAAACGCTTATTAATTACTTTGGGTAATCCTTCAGAATATCCTAGATTTACTGCAAGAATCCTTTAGGTAAATACAAGATTCCTGTGAGTAAATCTTGAGAAAAGCAGAAAATTTCTAGAGAAATCCTATAGAAAAAACGGAAAATTCCTCTTAGGAATCCGCTGTACATGCGTCCATTTCTTCTGGAAATTTTTCAGAATGGAATTAAATTTCCTGCAGATAATAGCGACATTCTCGTAGATTTTTTGCAAAAATTCCGCTATTGCTGAATTCGGACGAATTTATCTCTGGCTGGAATCATCATAATTTCTTCAGGGAAAACTCGATTTATATACAATAAAAATTTACCCATAGAAAATCCCGCAGAATCATCCTTAGGATTTTCTGTAGGATTTTCTTTGGGTAATTTCTGCTGAACTTTTCCGCACAACTTTATCGTAAGGATTAGTTTCTTAGATACCGCTAGAATTGACAATTATTACTTTTACGTAGCTCATTGTAATTTTTTTCGTTTTAAAAAAGATTTTTTTAATTTTTAGCTACATTTTTTTATCTTGAATAAAAAAAATTACTTACGGATATAACAATTTTGCTGATATAATATGGAGCAGGATTATATAAATTACTTGCAACGTCACGTAACAGTAGAGGAAGCTCATTTGGAAATGTATAAAATACTGCATAATTAAATGTGAAAATTGTTTCCGTTATTACAAGGTATAAAAGACCTTGCAAATTTTGTATTCCTTTTTGATCCAGATTACTAACAACTCCAACATATGGTGTACTAAGTAAAACACTTATAAACTGAAACAGTAAGGAAAATTTATTCAACTTCAGCTAAATCTTATGCTCCAATTTTCGAAAATTATAATATTTTATTATTTGTGAGGATTATTTATCGGGTGAGATAAATAAACGAGACATAATGAATCAATATTTGAAATATCTTAAATGTATTATAAGGTATCAAAAAAAATAAAAAAGTTCAAAGTCGACGACTCTGTTGACCCTCTCGATGGTGGATGGCGTCAGCATGACAAGATGACGAGCTACTTTATCGGTTCACGGGCAAGTATCAGAGTACGAATATCGGCTTCTCAGCGACGAAATACCATTTTGCACTCCGAAAAAATTGAAGATTTCCCGAACCGATGTTCACGATTTGAGCGTGAAACAGAGAGTATTCCATTGTCGTCGATCGTATCTCCAAGTCTTTGGGCCTCATAGCTGTTCGTAAGCGCAAGCGTAGCGAAATATTGTCGATAAGCTCCGACTTTTCATATATCGATCGAGCTTCGCTGGTGCATCGAGCTTGTAGTCTGCATTCTTAACCGTACGTGTCTTATGCCTGTGTTGTCGTTTTTGTTACTGACTTGCCGCTGCCTCTTCTCGTGTCTTCGTGTTTTTTTTTTTTTTTTTAACGTGGGCAGAGTGAACTCTGCAGCCAGTGGGCCTTAGAAACGAGTACCCCACTGGAAACCGTCGTTAAACATTACTTCGGTGGGGATTCTATAGAGCTTCTCTGCTACATCTGTGTCTTTTCCGTACATCTCCCGTCCACCTTACGGTGATTAGGGGTTCAGGGATCAGAAGCGTCGTCTTCTTCTTACAGCATGGTCCGGATCGTTTTTACATCTCTTGTGCCTCTTGCCTCAGTCTGGAGACGACTAATTGCACGGAAGACGCTACCGCTATCCAATCGCCTGCAGTCTCGAGCATGAGCCTGACGATATTTTCCGGCTCAATTACTTCTTGGAGGACTTGTTAAAGTCTCTCCCTCTCTTCGTGAAATCGCGGGCAGCGAAAGAACACATTCTCCGCGTCTTGTATTGTGATTGGACAGGCCGGGAAGAGTGCTCTAAGGGTGTTATGCGTGAGATAGTAGTCCACTTCTCCATGTCCCCTCTCTATCCACTCTGTGATGTTCGGGATTAGCCGGTGTATCCATCGGCCCTTTGGTCCGCCCCACCGGTCCTGCCACTTGTTCAGTGTCTCTCTTCTCTCTTCCTCCTTGACATCCTCGGGGTGGCGCTGATATATGCGCGCTCGCTCATCCACTAGTAGGGCCGGCGGTGGTACGCCGGCTATCACGTACGTCACGTCGTAGGAGACGCGTGGTCGGCCACTGATCACGCGCAGGCAGGCTCGTCGATGTATGGCCTCTGCTTGACGGATGTAGGCCTGTGTCTCCATCGCACAGCTTCAGATGGGCACTCCATATAGGAGGTTCGAGTCGACGACGTGAGCATAGAGCGGTGTCGTACATGACGTTCCATAGGATGGACCCTAAGATAGACCCTTGCGGAACGCTTGCTGTGACTCTGTAGGACCCTGGTCCGTCATCCGTGTCGTAGTCGAGCACCCTCGCTGAGAGATAGCTGCTGTTTATTCTCAGCAGATACTCAGGCGTGCGAATTCAGCGTAGCGCAGCGTGGATGTTGTTCCACCGAGCCGAATTAAACGCGTTCTTCACGTCGAAGGTCACGACGGCGCAGTACTCCTTGGGGCCGCGGTTCCACCTCTTGCCCGCGATAGCCTCTCAGGTGGTGGCGATGACGTTCTCGATGGCGTTTATCGTCGATCGCCCTTTCCGAAAACCGTACTGGTGATCTGAGAGGCCCCCAGGGTTCTCAGTAATGGCTTCGAGGTGGTCACAGATGATTCTTTTCAGAATCTTGCCCGCTGTGTCAAGCATACAGAGTAGCCTGTACGACAATGGTTCTTCGGGGGGCTTGCCCTACTTTGGCAGCAGGACGAGCCTCTGTCGTTTCCAGCACGCCGGAAAGACACCGGTACGGAGGCATGCCGTGTACACCTGCAAAAAGATGTCAGGGTGCATGGCAATGGCGATCTTGATAGCGGAGTTTGGTACACCGTCCGGCCCAGGCGCCGTGTGCTCCTTGATCCTCTTGTAAGCTCTTCGGAGTTCCTTCATGGTGACGGCTGACACGATTGCTCCTGCCCGAAGTGGTGGTGGCAGAGCTGGCTCGTCGTGCACAAGAGGGAAGAGGGCAGCCACTATGTGGCGCACCAGGGACGGAGAGCTTGGCAAATTTGCTCTCGGTCCTCTGAGTCGGGACATGACCGTATCGTATGGTTTGCCCCATACGTCCTCGTTGACTTCATCGCACCGTTTATTCCAGCACCGGCGCTTGCTGGTCTTAATAGCAGCGCGCAGAAGACGTCTTGCAGAGGCATAGCTCGCTTGCCAGGCGTCTTCATTTGGCCGACCACGCGCTCTCTGGGCAGGCCTCGCAGGCATGAGCGCTGGAGGTCAGCGATCTCGCTTGTCCACCAGTACACCGCGCCACGACGGCGTCGTCCATTTGCCTTGGTCATAGACGCGTCGCTTGCACCGGTAATGGCGGCCATGAACCTCATAGCCATCTCCTCTGTAGGCCCGGAAGGAACCGCGGCCCCGACCATCATGACTGAGAGATACTCTGTGTCAAGAGTGCATGCGCTCCACTTGCAGCGTTAGCGCGTCGTGAGTCTAGGTAGTCTGGTGGTCTCTATCTCAAACACGATGGCTTGATGGTTGCTGTGCGTGTAGAGCTCGCTTACAGCCCATGATGTAATTTGGGGAGTGAGTGTGTCGCTGGCGAAGGTGAGATCGATGACCGAGTAGCCCAGTGGACCGGCGAATGTTGGTGTATTTCCGGTGTTTAGCAGTACAGCTTCAAGGGTGGCAAACGCGTCAAGAAGAGCGGTGGTGCGCAGTCTAGTTACACGGCATCTCCACTCCGTTTACCAGGCGTTGAAATCACCCGCGACAATGAGCCGCCTCTTGCCCCAGGCTTCCTCGATGATGTTGATGAGGAGAGCGGAAAATTCTGCATCAGCGAGTCTTGGTAGTGCGTAGACGCTGAAAAAATAGATTCCGTTGATTCGAGCCCCGGCGGAAAAGGGACGCGCTCTTGCTAGGTGCTCCTGCACCAGGCTGCCTCCATGCACGCAGATCGCTGCTTGTCTGTTGACATCGGCTAACCATGTTTAAGGTGGATCTAGATTCTTGTACTGATCACACACTACGGCCACGTTTATGCGTTGCTCGAGAATAATTTGGCTCAGGAGATCCTGAGCAGCCCTGCAGTGATTGAGGTTTAGCTGTAAAATCCATGCATCGGCGGGCTTGTTTGGTCTTCTGTGCTAGAGGGCAGTACTGGCTTGTAGACGTATGGTCGTGGACAGCGCCTCGCTCCTGGCCAAAAACGCACGTTGGACTGTTCGCGCAGACCTTTTTGCGTGGTCACGCATTTCTGGCGTCTCCTCCTGAGTTAAGTATTAGAACTCTCTGCCCATTGCCATCTTGTGAGTGTGGTTCTCGCTTCTGTCACCGCCCAGCAAGTGACCAGGTTGGCGGGACGGCTTTATCTTGAGAATGTGGTTTTCGCTTCCGGCGCTACCCTGTGAGTCTCGGTGAGTTTTTGAGACTCCTTTCTGTTGTCATTTTGTGAGTGTGGTTCTTGCTTCTGACATCATCCTGGGAGTGTTGTGCTCCCCGTCTATCGCCAGCATTGTGAGTCCACACCTCAGGCTCCTCATAATGAATACTTTTCGTTTCCAGCTCGCACAGTGATCGGGGTTTTTTCCCGCTTCGGAGGCTGATGACATAGCCCGGGTCTTCTTTTTGGGTGGTATCCGCTCCACCTCGGGCACGGGCACAACCTCGCCAGGCGAAAAAACGCTCCTCGAAAATTCGCCCAGTGGGGATCAAACCCACGCCCTACGGCACACCTTGTATCAGCAGGCAAAAACTATACCCACTGAGCCAAGGAGTCCGATTAAATCGTGTCTTCGTGTTTTTTTTTTCTTTCCTCCACCCCATTCGGACACTCACCGGTAACCGCCGCTAGGTATTGCTTCGGTGAGGCCGGGCTTAGTTGAGCATTTCTGCTACTTCTATGTTAGTCGTTGTTTTTCATACATCCCCCATCCGTCGCATAGTGATATGCGACGATTAGGAGTTCAGGGGCTCATCTTTCTTCTGCTTGGTAAACCTCCGATCCTGCGCGATGCTATCTCTCGATTGTCGTATCCCCTTTTTCAGAGCCGTATACTGCGTGGTCACACATTGCTGGCATCTCCTCCTGAGTTAGATTTTTTTTTAGAACTCGCTGTCTAGTGCCATCTTGTGAGTGTGGTTCTTGCTTCTGCCGCCGATGGCAAGTGCCCCATTTGCTCTGTCGGCTACATCTTGTGAGTGTGATCATGTGTCTTCATGTGTGTTCTTGGATGTGTGTATGTATGTTTGTGTTTGTACGGTCGAGCCAATAAGTACGATAGACCTATCGTTGTGCGGCGAGGTTCGCATCTCCCGTCACATATTATATTCAAAATATAAAATTGAAATTATCTAAAAAATTTTAACCTTTCGTCAGAGATCTTTTGGTGATTTTATTATAAAATGTTGTAGCAAAGTGTGTGATAAGGATATAAATTATAATATCGCTTTACGAATCAAGTGCCATAAGTAACACTTTTTGGCATCGCGTAGTTTAGGACCCGAGCGCAGCGAAGGTCCTAATAGCTGCAAAGTCAATGTCGTGGGCTTCGTAGACGACATCGCTCTGGCCACGGTTGCTTAACACCTGTGCCAGATATCTATCGACAAGCATATCTGCATATCATCAGTGGACGCCCACATTTGTTGTAAAAAGCCACCTACGTCCTAGCCAGTATACCACCTCTGTCACAACTCGTGGATGAGTGAGTAGTTCAGTGGGACCAGTCGATAAAGGAAAAATGGACGCACCGACTGATCCCAGACATCAAGGGCTGGGTTGAGAGGCAAAGGCGAGATAACTTACTATCTCATGCAGCTCTTAACTGGACACGACTACTTCAGACACTACAGCCAGCACTACGACAATAAGATTAGCGTGCGGTGCCTAGTCTGTTCCCCTGAAATCGAGCACGTAGAGCACGTATTTTTATACTGCCCGCTTTTTAACAACGAAAGGAAAGGGCCTTTTTTCCTTAAGAATGAAAGAGACACACTTTAACGAGCAGATAGAGCCTGAGAATATTGTCTGGCTCACGCTGAAACACCCAGGAAAATGAAACGCTATTTCCTCGTTTGCACAGACAGCTGTATCTTGACTGATTCAAGAGTCAAGAGACGAACAATAACAACGATGAGGAATTATAAAAGAAAAGGATGCATCAAAGATTCCAGCTGTGGTCCACACCGAAGCAATTTAGAAACGGATAACGGTGTGGATCCTCTGATTGTATGATGAATTCTGGTCACCCAAAGTCGAGGTCATTTATTCGATGAGTTGTTGATACCAATTGTATAAATTGCTTAATGAATCACAATAAAAGACTTGAAAATCATACGCACACATACAGACATTTGTTCAAAATTCAATGTAGTTATCGAATATGTGAACTAAATCACCCTATGACGTCTGTTTCAAAAGCAAGTTTTAGAGCCTATCACAAAGCTTCCTGTAGGTGAAGAAAACTTCGAAAATGTCGAAAAATATAAAGCATTAATTGTTAAAGAATACAGTACTACTTCATGGTAAAATAAAACTGCTACTCTGGAAAGTTTTTTCTATTTAAAAAACGAAACTACTTCTTTTAAACAGCAGAAAAAAACGTTGATATTCAATCGAATAACTTTCTTTTTTAATTAGAATTATTATTAAATGTCAAATAAGGGCGAGTACCTGTGTTTTTCATTCATTAGATTTTAATAAAATATCTCTTAGGAAGATTTTGTTTTATTTTCTTTTGGAAATCAAAATCAAAAGTTTTGTTTAAGATATTTTTCTTGCAACGTGTATATCAGCCAATTTTCTGCTTATGTTTATGATAAAAGATATATTTTACTACTTACCATGTACAAACAGAATCGCAAAAATATTGATGAGATATTGCGTTTGTAATCAACGTACGTTCTCCATAATAACCATTGTAGTTGGCAAAATGATCTTACACGCTTAAATTCGCTAGCTGGCAATAATCCAATAGAAAAAATAGGATGGGGAATATCACTATATGTTGTTTTAAAACACGATTCCTCAATTGATCGAGCGACTCGTTCACCATACATTGATTTTTCAAATTCATCGCAAATCCATTTGACCTGCAATAATTAATATTTATAAATATATCCAGCTTGAACCTTTTAATTAATAATAACAATCTTTCTTCAAACCTTTTTTTGACTATCCATTTCTCTTCCTCGTTCAATAGAAAGTTGTTTTACGAAAAACTCTGCACTATTAAAAGTTGTTGGACATTGAATGCCTATACTGTAATATAGTATTTATATGAGCTTATAAATAAAACATTTATGCGACAAAAATTTTTGTAAATAATTTAATTACTGAGTTGAAAAAAATTGCATGGATATCTGCATGGATTATCCACAGGAATTAGCTATCCACAAAGATTAGACATGGATATCACGCAGATTGGACAACGATTCCACGTGGATCAGACATAGATTAAAAAAAATTCTAAGTCGGTGGTTCTCCAACTCTTCAGGGATCGTGGACTTTTTGCGCGAGCCCGCTCGAAGAGTCCACGAGGCTTTGTCGGTGAATCGTCGTGGATTCATAAATAATTAACGTGGAGAAGTTAAAATCCACGATGATTCACCGACAAAGCCTCGTGGACTCTTCGAGCGGGCACGCGCGAAAAGTCCAAGATCCCTAAAGAGTTGGAGAACCACCAACTTAGAATTTTTTTAAATCTATTTATGATCCACGTGGTATCCATGTCTAATCTTTGCGGATAGCTAATCCACGTGGATAATCCACTCGGATATCCATGCAATTTTTTTAAACTGGGTATTTATCCTTAAGCTTGTTACGTTAGGCTGACATAGAGTCAGGGCCTTTCTTATTCCATTTTTAATAAAAAATTCTTTATTTTCCATATTTTAATAAAGCACCCTATTGATAAAGAGAAAAACGCGTTATAGAGCTGATAGAAATAAGTGAAATGTATATTGCAAAGAGAAATCAGCGTAGATTTGGCTCCTATCTATCAGTGTGACGCGGGCAAGGATCACAAGATTTCATTGATGCCTACTTAAATGAAAGAAGAATAGTAAACTATGTAATGTGTAAGGATAAACTGACGTGAGAGCTGAACAGAAACATGAAATGCTTAAAATTGTAAATAAACATAGAGCATGTGTGACGAACCGTCTGTGTGAAATTGTTTAAACCAATTCGATTTAAATGGATAATGAAGTTGATCTTGAAGCAGTCGTGCAGTTCAAACCGTTGCAACGGATCAAGCAGATTTAAAAAAATGCCTAGATGATTATAAAAAAGTAGGTATTGTGTCTGAAACGGATTCAAAATATGCTATTCCAGCTTTTATCTTACGTAAAAAAAATTGAACTCCTTGAATGGTTGTGGATTACGGGCGTTTAGACAAGGTCACAAAAATATTACCGTAGCCGTACCGTGATATATACTGAATTTTGAGGACATTATTAATAAATAGATTGGCGAAACGTTTTTTATCTCGCATAGAGGTATCTGCGGGTTATGCTGAAAGAAAAAGCTAAGGAAAAGATGGTGTTTATTACACGAAGACGTAGACGGGACAATTTGAGAGGGCCATGTTTGGTTTGGATAACGCACCTCCTTATTTTGCCAAACTGATGGATTGGGTAATCGCCGCGGCTCGTAAAAAAAGATTCTATTTAACTCCTTCGACGATATCTGCATCTATGTAGAAAGTTGGGAACAATTGATAAGTTACTTGGACGATATTTTATCGCGCTTAGAAAATGCAGGCTTAACACTTCGATTAGAGAAATGCACGTTTGGCATGAAAATGATTGAAAGTTTAGGATACGAATTAGGCTATATAGCGATTTATGCGTCCGAAAAACAAACATGAAATCAAGCAATTTATTGATCTTGCTAATTTTTTTCAGCGTTTGGTTCCTACTTCACGATAAAAGCGCGATTATTAACGAAATTATTGAAAAATGATGCAGTTTGTCAATGGAATGACAAGAAATATAAAGCAACGCGAACGCAGCTGCACACTGTGACACTATGATTGTGCCGAGCAGCTGCTGACATAAAGAAGTATGATGGGAACTGACAGGCAACGTACAAATAATCAATTCAATTAATAATGAATGTATTAATTTTGCAGGTCAATTGCCAAAAACAGGACGAGCCGCCGCCACGAGCCAAATCGACGGTGAAAAGCATGTAAGAGAGGCCGCTAGAGCGTGCCATGCCGGACACGTGATGCGAGAGTAGGAGGCCGGGAGCAGGCATTCACGTGTTGACCACGAGCGAGAGCGCACGAGTAATTTTTCCGATTGAGTCTTGCCAAGAGAGTTGAGGCACGTGTGAGTACGAGAGGAGTGATAAAGAGTAACGAGTGTCGAGTGAGAGGAGTACCTGCGAGTACCGAGTGACGAGCGAGTTGAAAGTGTTTAGTGTAGCGGAAGCCAGAGTTGAGTATTTGTCGAGTGAGGAAGTGTTGCGAGTGGAAAGCCGAGAACACAAACTGAGACTTTGGTCAAAGACCGCCATCCGCAACTTTAACAACGCCAGTGTCATCAACAGCTTCGTCCCGGGCCAGACCATAGCCTACCCGAGACCTGCTGAGCCACGCCGGATTTCTGCCGAGACATCAAGTTAATTTGGTACAGTAAACATCATTTGTAAGGTGTGTGCGTATGTGAGTAAGAGAAAAGCCGGATCAGTCGTCACCTTTTCAATAAATATTTCTCTTCATTATAAAAAAATCAAGTGTAACGGGACTTTTATTTATTTCACCTTTTATTGCCTTTCTTCTATCGCTTTTATTTTTTCCATTATTTCGCGTATTTAGCCCTGTTCGAGCTCACGACTTCATAGTGTGGCGGTGGCCGGGCATCAAGAAGCCACCGTGTTACAACACGTACGGAACATCAAGCGGGCTTGGTGCTGTATTGCTGCAGACAGATCAAACTGATGAGTAAAAACGCGAAGCAAAAACGAACAAAAGCTGTTAAGACTTCGTATTGCATGACAGAGCTTTGCATGGAAAATTTGTTTGCAATGATGTAACTCTCGAGCGATTCCTTGTATCAAAAGTCATGAGAAAGAGTGTGGTTACTAAGTACCAGAATAGCAAAGGTCACTTTGGCGTGAACAAAATCGCAGATGTGATAGAAAAATGTTATTGTTGTTTTGGGTTTAAATTTGAAAAAATGTGATATGTGCAAACTGTATTATCGTTAGTCTCGTCGAAATTAAAGTCATAGAAATTATGAAAGATATGTTTTTAACCTGCTAAAGAACTCGAGCGCTTCAACTGAACTGCCTTGAAATACCAATCTTCCATTGGAAAGTAATATTATTTGATCAAATAAATCTAGTAAGCCAGATGCTGGTTGATGTAATGAACATATAACTATACATCCTCGCGCTGCTACATCTCGCAGAGTTTTTGTCACTGTCATAGCAGCAAAACTGTCAAGGCCAGTTGTTGGTTCATCACAAAATAAAACTCGTGGTTCAATTAATAACTAGAATACATGAAATATTAGTACATGCATACAAACTTATAAAGAGCAATTAGCAAATAGTGTTTAAGAATAAAATATTTTTTGAACACAATCCTTGTTCCATTATCAGAAACAAAAGTTGTAACAATTCACTCTCTAGAAAATCTTGTCTAAAAATTATTGACCATTTGATGGATATAAAGTAGTTCATTATTAAAATGAAAAAAAAAAGACATCCCAAAATATTGTAACAATTGAAGTAAATTTACTTCGCCACTAAATCGCGGATATAATGAAAATCAAAATTGGCTGGCAATATGCTGTCCATTCTTTGTCACCCGAAATAGTGAATTCATTTTTTACGTTGTCTACGTTTTTTTTGTTTTTTTTTTTTTTAATTTTTATTTTATAAAACGTGATTCAAAATTATTATACATTGTTTTTAGACAGTATATCTCACTTACGCAGGTATTTAAAAAATTTAGAAAGGTTCAGTTCCAGACACCGGACCAAATGGATTTTATGTTTTTGGGGTTGATAAATCCGAATCTGGCATCAATTTTTCTAGGTTGACTATTTTTTAAGGTCATTTGAGAAAAAGTAAAAAAAGCTAAAAAATTCATGCCAAGGTTTTTCAGAATGTTGAATCCAAATCTGAGGTCAGATGACTTCTATAAAGTCAACTGTACCTAGAATGGAAGTAGAAGCTGTGTCTGGATTCGAGTAGCTGCTGCGCTAAAGTGGGAGTGAGTGCTGTGCCTTGATAAGAGGCAGCAGCTGTACCAAAATCTTCCCATCTAACAAGGAGACCTTTTCACCTCCGGGTCATGGATTTGGCCCAAACTTTTTCTGGTCATTCAGGACAGTTAGAAAACATGCCCTGTTTTGTTAGGTTGTGTGAATATGCCCTAGAAGCGTTAGATAAAAAATAAACGTTAAAATAATAAAAATAAGCATATAAAGCGCAATAAATATTTATTTACTACCCTCAAACTATTTTGGTTACTCATTTTAGACACCTAGTTCTTGAAAACAGTACATTTCATTGTTAAGAAGTTGTTGGATCTCACTCATGACCTAAAACATTGCAAGATTGTTCAATTATGACATTATAAAGCGTTTAATTTCAATACTTATGGCCTTAAACGCTTCAAATAATTATTATTTTAATACAAGCACTGGATATCTGACAAGTTCTTATCAAAATACTTTTCACTGACTAATTTAACACTTCAAGTACCTACGCAGAGTTGAATTTTATCAATGATGTGATGAGGTAAATAATATTTGCACATAAGGCCGCTATTTGCCATGATCTCATGCCATGCCTTTGTGCAATATTGCAATGTTTTGGGTCACGAGTGAGATTCAACAACTTCTTAAAAATGAAATGTAATGTTTTCAAAATCCAGGTGTCTAAAATAAGTAACCAAAATAGTTTGAGGATAGGAAATGAATATTTATTGCGCTTTATATGCTTATTTTTATTATTCTAACGTTTATTTTTTACCTAAGGCTTCTATGGCATATTCACACAACTTAACATAATAAGGCATGTTTTCTAACTGTCCTGAATGACCAGAAAAATTTTGGGCCAAATCCATGACCAGAAGGTGAGAAGGTCTCCTTGTGAGTACAGCTACTACCCTTATCCAAGCACAGCTACTAGTCCTCTTTTTTGGCCTAAAAACCTTGGTACGGATTTTTTCAGATTCTTACTACTTTTTCTCAGTCTGACTTTTAAATGACCTTGATAATTAGGCAACCCAGAAAAAATGATGCCAGATTTAGATTAAGCGATTCCAAAAAATAATATTCACAAGGTTTGGTATCTGGAACTGAACTTTTTAATTCTTTATGTGATGGTGTATTCACAATTTGATCTCATAAAACTCTGGAATATCAATTAATAAGAAATGATACACGATTGAATTAAAATAAGTGTTTTCATGATATTTAGCTTCATTTGTCTTGTACCGTGCATTTGGGTTTTGTGTACTTAAAATGATGATTCTCAATTCTTGAGCCCAATGATTTTTTTCTGTCTTCTTCCTACTGGCACAATTTACGAGACCTAAGGAATAGTTTGACAAAAAAATTGCATTAACAATGCTCGCGCAACAGTGACAGCGGATAAATGGTAAATATTGTGCGCAGTATATTGTGTGAGAAGTATGTAAAATCACGGCAGAAGATTGTAACTTACCAGAGGAGTACTGTGGCAAGGGCATCATCGATCGATGTAGTCTTTCAAACCATCGTGGTTTCTTCATGATCACACTCGCCATCGTTGCAGCCTTAAAAACGCTTCTGTGTCCTGGCCATCTATTTCACCGTCGATGGCATAATCTAAAACACAATATATGAAATATAGTTTAAAAATCCACATTCACAGTTATAATCATTTTTTATGATCCGAGATCAACGTCAAAAAAGTCAACTATCATAACCTCGAACTGTTGACTTGTTGCAGAAAAGTTGCGGTGACATATTCAAATCATATGTGAATTTAATTGTGGATTTTCAAACTACGTTTGATTTGTTGTGTTCTAAATGCTGATTACGGTAAATAGGATTTCCGAGAAACAGCAACGGTGGATGCATCGACTTTGAGGGTGATCATGAGGAAATGTCAACGGCTTGTAATATCGATGATGCCGTGGACGCAGAACTCCTCTGATAAATTGTAATCTTCTACCGTTATTTTACAAGCTAAACCCAAATGAATAACGTCGAACTTCTGAAGAGTAATGCACGCAGAATACTCTTTTAAAAAGAGTAATTTGCTTAGATTATTCCTTTCAGTGAAACGCAGGAACTTGAAAGAGTGATTTATACACATTACTCTTTTCAAAAGAGATACAAACACAGATTACTCTTTTTGGATAATACTATTTCACAAAAAAGAATATTACGTGCAGATTTATTATTATTATTATCATTATTATTATTTATTTTATTTATTTTTTGTTTTTTTTTTTTTTGTTTTTAAAGTGTAACGAACGCAAACAAATCTACTTTTGGAAATCTGGACAGTCACAGTAGTCATTTTACATCAGCAGATAGTGATAGATTATACATATCTACTGATTATATGTATGTAATGTGCCGATCTTTTAATTTATTTTCTTAAAATGATTGAAAGATACATCGACAACAAGAACAGTAACGGGATATCAACAAAATATTGATTCTCTTAAAATTTGTCGTATTTTGATTACATTAAGCTGTACACAATTTTTCTAGACTTCTATTTTATCAACTGACTCTTTTCACTGTAGAAATTTTCAAAAGAAGAGAAGTTTGCGTTCGTTACACTTTCAAATAAATTAATCTGCATGTAATACTCGTTTGCGTGAATTAGTATCACATCTAAAAAGAGTAATGTGAATGAATTATTCTTTTCTCCACTCAACATTTTTCGAAAAAGAGTAATCTGCGTTGGTTACTATTTGAATTTCTTGCGTTTCAGTGTCGATTTACTATTTTTAAAAGAGTATTCTGCGTACGTTACTCTTGATAGGTTCAAAAATTACTCTTTTGGGTTTAGCGTATACGTACTAGTCACACATTATACTACGACCATATTATTATCATTCATTCACTATCGCTGATGTGAGTGTTATCAATGTAGTTTCTTTTGCGTGAACGCCGTACAGGCGGAGAGTATGGAAAAGTGAGATAACCCCGACCACAGCATGGACAACCAATTATGAATCTGGCTCCTTTCCCCCTTATTTATTAAATCAATAAGTGACATATAATTATTAACAATTAATTACCTTTATTACACCCAAACTGTAGAAGACGAATGAAACTAACTATCATGAAAACATATTCAATTCGGTCATGTATATATTTTATAATATTATTGATGTACCAGAGTTTTATAAAATCAAAGTATAAAGTTATAGTATGACGACGAAATTACCACGAAACACACAAAAATTAGGCAAACTAGGCATGGTTCAACTTCGCTGCGTTCAGTTAAATCTTAAAAATTCAAGCCCCCTTTGACTCCCTAAAGAAAAATGAATTATATGATATAAATTGAGAAAAACTATATTATCGTTTCGCAGCGTGAAATTGTACATTATAGATATATACAAAGGTGGGTTAATTTGAATTGCAAATAGACACACTCATTATATTATAGAAATTTAAGTTTTTTTTCGTGTCAACATTACCTGTACAGCGAGTGACACTCGTTTTCTTTCGCCACAAGATAACTTGGATAATTTAGTTTTGCTACATTTTATCAAACCCAATTCGGATAATAGGATGAATATTCTTTGTTTTCGAGCAAGGGATGAGACATTTCTATCCATTTTCATTCGTGCCTGAAAAAAATATATTTATTTAAGGAATTACTTGTCGTAATCTCATATATCATTTTGTATTCACGTTAGGAGAGATTCTAAGTAATGATTCAATATTTATAAATCACTAAGCTATGAAACTACAGTGACCAGGTATTCTAAATATCTTTGGAATCGGTACTCTCAATTATGTGAAATTTATGATAGAAATAACAACAAAAAACGTAAAATTATAAAAAATATTATGCTTAAGTGCTTGTACAGAGTAACCTACGGGTCCAATCATCTTGGCTGAGGTCTTGACCATAGCCATTCATGTTTTGAAGAAGTGACGATCGTGGTGCTGTAGTTTTAACGGTTTGCTCGGAATTTCACAACTGAGGTGCATTTTATAAAAGCGTAAAACGTCAAAAAACGTAAAAGATGAAGAAATTTAACAAGCCTAGTATAAAAAAAGGCTCACGTAAATGGCTGTATTTCAGTCAAAAATGAAAATTTTAGGATTTGAAAAAATGCTATGAATATAGATGCTACTAGGTTAGACTCCTTTACTGCCCTGAATGAGACTTGGATAACGCGCTCGCACAGCGACGCAGCTTACCTTTCGTCGCCATAGGTGTGCATAATTACTCTTATATTACATTACTCACTCGCGTTCTTTAATTTGACATGATTTGTGTTGTGTGGCATCGTCACAATAGCAAACACTTAGCATACAGCAATTTTAACTAGCAAATATGATAATATTAATTAAGGTACTTCTCTCTGCTTATTTTACTAACAATTTTTTCTGTTTTAGATTAATCTAATTTAATTCTTGGCCAAATCAAAAATATTTTACCATAAATTCCATATGTTCATATACTGTCAAAGATTCAATTGCAAGATCTTGTTGAGGAACAAAACCAGACATTCGAGACATTATTTCAATGTCAACTTGTTCACCATTGAGTAGCACCTCTCCTGACAATTTACCTGCACATAAAAGAATTTTTTTAATTAAATCATTTCATTTTCTTATTTTCCTATTAAAAAAAATTGAATGGGATTTTAATGATACTATCCAAGTTAGTATGTACAGTCAACCCTCGTTATCCGCGGTTAATTTGTTCGGGAAAAATACCGCGGATACTGGGACCCATATTATAGGGAAAATAGGGGGTTCGGTTTAATGAGAACAAATTTTTAGTACATTAAATATAAATCGCGATGAAATTTATAGAACTAAATTAAAGTTTATTGATTTACAAAAAAGTCAGATAAGCGAAGTCGAAGCCGCGGATAACGAATTTTGTCCACTATTAGCGATTCGCGGATACTGGAACCTCGAATAATGGGGGTTGCCTGTATTTATATTATTTCCCTGATCCCTAGAATCATTTCGCACAATTCGTGCGAGAATCTTGGCCAGAAATTTTAACAAAAGCAAGCTTCGAAAAGTGATAGGAATTAAATAAAGCAGTGCCTTTTACACTATTCAAAAATTTTTTGAGCCCAGATTACACTTTATGGAAAATGGTCACCGTAGAAAAAGTGTAAGAGGCGCAAATTACACTTTTTTAAAAATCGTAACAGCGGAAAAAACTTAGTTACAGAAGAAGTGACACTTTTTTTAGCGCAAATTTCACATTGCCAACAAGTTTAGCTTGCGCTTCTTACACTTTTTCTGCTGTGACGATTTTTCAAAAAGTTTAATATGCGCCTCTTACACTGTTTCTATGGTGACCATTTTCCAAAAAGGATAATCTGGGCTCGAAACACTTTTGAATAATGTAAACTGCACAAGTTTTACTATATCACAAAAACTTTTACACTTTTGGAGTTTCAGTGTAATTCGGGATAATGAATCATGATTGTAAAGAGGCCACAGGATTGAGACCTTTATTTGGAAAAATTTTGCAAATATTTTTAAACGATTAAATTTTCTTTCAGTAATCGAAGATGATATACTTAAGTTGAAACTGCTAGAACTTGGTCTTAAACCTATTCAAAATAAATATAATAAGTCACACTTTAATAATAAGTCACACTTTTTGGCACCGCAGCGTTCGTATCACACTCGCATACGCTCGTGCACTAACCTCACTTCGCTCGAGCAGAAAATGCGACTCATGGCTTGAAAAAGGGGGCATAAATGTGAACTTAGCACAGTGCTATAAAATAATGTACGATACTCGTGCCATGAGCACTCGCTGTGCTCAGGCCTAAACTATGCTGTGCCAAAAAGTATCGTTCGCAACTAGTCCGCGAGGAGCGTAGCGAGGGTGCAGACTCCTGGATGAGTCAACTGCTTCGTGCACTTGTAACAAAATATACTATTTAAGCACTAAAAAGTGTGCGCAAAAGGCATTTTTCTATATACTATTGCATAAAAATAAAATGATTTACATGTAATATTTGTTTTCAACATTACCTTTCATTCTTAGACTTATCGTTGCCAAAAGACTTGTCTTACCAGCCCCACTGTAAAAAAATTATACATGAGCATGAGTAATTGTTATGTGGTTTTCAAAACTTTTCAAACACTTTACACCAACCTTGGACCCATAATGGCAGTTAGCGTACGGGATTTGACATAACCCTGAACTGTTTATGAAAAAAGATATTGTTATAGAATTCTATATCATGAACTAAATACTCACTATCATCAATTTTAACTTAACTTATTGTAAGTACAGTACTAATAGAGCGTTAAATAACACAGGCACACAAAATAAAAAAATGCTGAGTTCCAGAGACCGGACCCAGTAGACTTTATATTTTTGGGGTCGCTGAATCCGAATCCCTCGTTGGTTTTTCGCCATCAGATCGATTCAAGGTCATTTGAAGGTCATTTAAAAGTCAAATCATGAAAATTAGGTTTAAAAACTTGAAACTATCCCTATTTAGGTTTTGAGGATGCTGAATTCAAATCTGAAGTCATATGACCTCTACAACCTTACCTTCAAGGTCATTTGAAGGTCAAACTTAGAAAATTCGATATAAAAATCCGAAAAATATATTTTTTATGTTTTGAGAATCGCTGAATTCGAATTCAAGGTCATTTTGACTAAATTTAGACATCTACAGGTCATTTAAAGGTCATTACGATCTTACCTTCAAGGTCATTTCAAGGTTAAATTAATAAAAAGAGGGCAAAACTTGATGAAATATTGTTAATTTCGTATGCCTTTTTACTTTTTCTTTTGTAACGCCCCTTGTTTTCTTTAAACGATCGGCATAAAGATTGCCGTCTGCGTTTAGTTCCTTTATATTCCCTCTTCAGCATACAGCAGTAATTAACCATCATTGCAACATCCCGTCTACCTTGATATAGCTGCTCCATATGTTTAATGTCTTGATGGAATCGTTCTCCTTGCTCGTCGCTAAAATTATCAGTTATTTCGAGAACTCATCTGAATGGTTATGCAAGAAATTCAGTTTATAAGACATACTACATTCCATTTTACCGAAATTGTTTATCATTGTTGATATTGAAACTTTGTTGTCATTGCTTCTGCAAATGACCTTGAAGGTAAAGTCGTAGAGGTCATCTGACTTCAGATTTGAATTCAGCATCCTCAAAAACCTACATAGGGATAGTTTCGAGTTTTTAAACCAATTTTTCATGATTTGACCTTTAAATGACCTTCAAATGACCTTAAAGCGATCTGATGGCGAAAAACCGACGACAGATTCGGATTCAGCGACCCCAAAAACATAAAGTCTACTGGGTCTAGTCTCTGGAACTCAGCATTTTTTATTTTATGTGCCTGTGTAATTCATAGTATGTGTTTAATTACATAATATACAAGTAATTCGTTCTTACTTTTAAAATTTTTCGAAATCGCGTATAGCTTGAATTATTTTCAAAAAAGAGTTTTTTGCGCATTTCATACATATCTTGTAAAAGACGATTGATTTTTTCGTCAACGGTTGACACGTGAAAAAAATCGTTATGATAACGAAAAAAACGAGCCTGACCAGCCGACCACTTTCAAATTGACAATCCTGCATATCATTTAATATTTATAAGTGGTGATGTAACTCACTAAGCAAATTGCAATGAAATTTTTTTTTTTTGCGTTAATAATTAAAAAATTGAAATTTCAAAAAAGAATACGGATAAAAAGGAGCAACTATTTCAAGTTAACATTTTTCGTAAAAAATAAAAAAAATTTATTCCTTATACGGTATGCCCAAATTTTTATGTTAATTTTCTGTGAACTTTTATTTCAAAAGTATGGAGGAATTACTCATGTATATTTTTTTAAATAAATAAAATGGCATTTAATTACTCTGCTGAAATAGTAGTATAACTAATATATAGTACTACGTAACATAAGTTCAAATTTATTATGTGGCTTTTCGTTCACACCACACTCCTTACACTTTTGTGCTAAACTCGCTCTCTTTGGTTACAAAATTGGATATGATACTGGACCTGTACAAGACACTTCTGGTACTGCTACATACCCAGTTGAAAAAAATTGCGTGGATATCCACGTGGATTATCCACGCTGATTCCACGTGGATCATACAGGGATTCCTTGAGGATGGGACATTGATTCCACGTGGATCGAACATGGATCATATAAAGAGTCCACGTACGTAAACCACGGGGATTTGCACGGAAATCCACGGGGATTTTCGCGCAAATCCTCGTTGATTTTCGATCGATCCACAGGTATTTGCGCGGAAATCTTCGTTGATTTTCGATCGATCCACGGGGATTTTCACGCATATCCTCGTTGATTATCGATCGATCCACGGAGATTGCGCGGAAATCCTCGTTGATTTTCGATCGATCCGCGGGGATTTTCGCGCATATCCTCGTTGATTTTCGATCGATCCACGGGGATTTTCGCGCAAATCCTCGTTGATTTTCGATCGATCCACGGGGATTGCGCGGAAATCCTCGTTGATTTTCGATCGATCCACGGGGATTTTCGCGCAAATCCTCGTTGATTTTTGATCGATCCACGAGGATTGAAAAAAAATCAGCATGGATCAGTCGAAAATCCGTGGTGATTCGCCGCGAATCCTCGCGGATGTTTCGAGCGCGTGCTCGCGAACAAGTTCCACATCCACGAGGATTGAAAAAAAATCAGCGTGGATCAGTCGAAAATCCGTGCTGATTCGCCGCGAATCCTCGCGGATGTTTCGAGCGCGTGCTCGCGAACAAGTTCCACATCCACGAGGATTGAAAAAAAATCAGCGTGGACAGTCGAAAATCCGTGCTGATTCGCCGCGAATCCTCGCGGATGTTTCGAGCGCGTGCTCGCGAATAAGTTCCACATCCACGAAGATTGAAAAAAAATCAGCGTGGATCAGTCGAAAATCCGTGGTGATTCGCCGCGAACCCTCGCGGATGTTTCGAGCGCGTGCTCGCGAACAAGTTCCACATCCACGAGGATTGAAAATAAATCAGCGTGGATCAGTCGAATATCCGTGGTGATTGCATTTTTTTCAGCCCATGATCGATCCACGAGAAATCCCTGTATGATCCACGTGGAATCCCTGTACGATCCACGTGGAATCCCTGTATGGTCCACGAGGATTACTTATCCTTGTAGATTTCCACGTGGATATCCATGCAATTTTTTTCAACTGGTTAGACACACTGCTACTAGGATCATCGCTGCGCTTAGGCCCTAAACGCCCAGTGCGCATCTGCACATCTTCTACAACATCATCTTTCGAGAACTCAACTCGGACAATTCAACCGCAACAAATAATCTTGGTGCATATTCATATGAGTATGAGCGTTTGTGTGTGTGCTGGGATGCTTATGTGTATGCGTGGATACGTATGTGTTTGGGGACATGTGTATATATACACATTATATATGTGTGTATTATATTTGTATTAAGCGTGTACGTTATTTCCTAAACTCGTTCTCATGCAATAAAGAACAAAACAAGTCATCAATACTTTATATAGCCCAAATCAATCGCTGTCTATTTCCCCAAAGGCCTTGAACTTTTCATTTAAATAACATGGAAAAAATCGTTTTGGCAAATGAGTTCCTGAATGCACCGGGAGTGACCAACATGGCTATAAGTCAGAAAATTTGTTGTTCTACGTTTAGATAGTATTTGTAAAGTTTGGCTGTTAGCAGTTGAACAATTTTTTTGACTAAAAGAACCCAAGAAAATTTTATTTACGTTTTAATATCTCGATTTTTCATGTGACTTCTCACGAAACATCGTAACGGATTTCGGTCCAATATGTCACGAGATTTCTTATTCGACATCTTATGTGAGACATAAGATCAGTACATTTTTTTAATAGGTGATCCAAATTAAAACTATAATAGAAAATAAATTGTGTTATAAATTTGAACTTATTACACGTAGTGATATTAGATAGTATTTCTTACTATTTTGCCATTGAAAAAATATTTTGCTAAATAGCAATTTATATATGGGTCAGATTGAGAATTTGGCCTGTGGGCGAAGTCAAGTACCGCTTCGCAAAATAGCCACGCACAGGCCTGAAACGCAACACGTGGACTCGAACCACGTATGCTTGAAATGTCCAAGGTACTCGCTACAATAATTATTCCGATCCTCGCACGACTATTACACAACAATTCTTTCGAAATACTTTCTTTTGTCTCACTAATACATCCACACTACACAATCACACACACACACACACACGCGCACGCACTCGACCGTCCAAGTCTCGATACAATTGCAGTCTTACTTTCATCGCTCCTAGGCCTTGGACTTCGTTCTCGATTTTGCCTTCCGCTTTTCCCCAACTGCTTCGTCCTCGCGGTCTGTGTCCCGTCCAAGCTCGTGGTTGTTCACCTCGAAGATGTCTCGAACAATTTCCGTGCATGTGTCGCAGTGCAGCGTATTCGCCCGGCTCGCTTCCTTCCCAACAACTCGCGAATCTCCTCATCACGTCGCATCACTTCACTTGCCACGCTGAACTCCAAGGCTGCAACACAGCTTAACCACGAAAACAGCACTACGACCTTCTGCTGCACACACAGCTTTTCTACGACAACTACTTTCAATCGCTGCCACACAGCTTCCCCACGAATTACCACTATCAAAGTCCAAGGCCAACGCTGCCGAACACTTACCAGCGACTTTCTACTTTTACGATACGTCCTTACTCTCTCGCTATCACTGCTCGATTGCGAATCTCGTGTGTGTGTGTGTGTACACTGTCGCGCAGATCTACCACGCATCGAGTCGCGCATGAATGAAAAATTCTGAAAAAATTCGAGGAAACGTTTTTTCGTGTCAGAATTAAGAAAAAAATAATCTGGTTTGGTACATCGAACCATTTTACCAAAAATAAAATAATTTAAATTTTGAATGATTTTTTCTGAAGGCCTGAAGCACTCAAAAAATCTAAAAAAATTCAAGGTTGTTAGGATTGTTGGAAAGTACCTTGTTGAATTTTTTCAGATTTTTTAATTACTTCAGGGCTTCAGAATAAATATAGATAGAAAATAGACGTTCTTAGCGGGGGGGGNGGGGGGGGGGTCCAAAATTTTACTTTTTGGGACCCTTTTTCAATGTACTATAGCATACCAAAATTTCAAGAAAATCTGTGGACCTCGCCCGGAGGTTTTTTTAAAAAATTCTGAACCTGACCCATATATAGTCCCATATATAGACCCATATATAGACCATATATATCTTGAAAAATTCCTTAAAATGATGAGAACTTACCTCCATTCAGAAGTTGTACAGTTTCTACTTGTCTACCTTTTAGAAAATCTCGTAGATAACTACCACTTTTTCTTCTTTCGATTTGTAAGTATATATTTTTCCATGATAAATTTAATTCTTTTAGAAGAGAATAATTGAAATCAACTAAGTTATTCAAAGAGTTATTTTCCTGAAAATCATATACTTTTACTTGTGAATTTTTTTTTATATATAAAATGTAATTAATATTAATAATTAATATAATTAACCGATTCAATATTACTACAGTGGTCCCTCGTCAAACGCGGTTTTGCTATACGCGAATTTTGCTTATACGCGGTTGACCAATTGTGAAGTCCCTCGCTATGCGTGGATTTTCTGAACTGAGGCAATGTTCAAGATACTATATGTTCAATTTATTACATTGCAAATTTAAGATCGAGTATATAAATTAAAGACAGAATGGAAACGACGAAACCAAGTCTTAGCTCTACAAGTTTATGAAGATATTTGCATAAAAACTACTTACGGCAAATGAAACAAACCGAAATTAATGCATTTTCAACACAATAAAAAAAATACATATAAAAAATAACTAAGTTTTCTTTCGTTGGAACATCCCAGTTGAAAAAAATTGCATGGATCTCAGCGTGGATTATCCATGTGGATTAGCTATCCAGGATTAGACATGGATACCACGCAGATCGGACAACGATTCCACGTAGATCACACATAGATCCACATGGATTGGAAAAAATTCTAAGTCTGTAGTTCTCCAACTCTTCAGGGATCTCAGACTTGTTTCGCGAGCCAGTTCGAAGTATTCACGAGTTTTTGTCAGTGAATCGTCGTGGATTTTAACTTCTCCCTGTTGATAATTGAATAATCCACTAGGGGTTTCGTGAAAATCCTCGTTGATTGTTTAAAAATAAATGCGGATGTTCGAAATTATACGAGGAATCGTCATGGGTTGATGAAACATCTACGTAGGTATTAAGTCAATCCACGTGGCTTACCTAAGTAGACAATTTATTTGATCCACATACCTATGTCCGATCCACGTGGTATCAATGCCCAATCCTTGAGGAATCTATGTATGATCCACGTGAAATTGGTATGATTATCAACGCGGATATCCATGCAATTTTTTTCCACTGGGGTATCCCGCAATTTCCGTTAGAACTATGGATGTAGTCTCATTCGATTCGGAAATTTGGGTTAAATCCAATCTTACATTCGTGTTTTTTGATGTTTAATTATTCATAATTTTTACTGATCATCTTTTTTGACAATTCTGACACCAGATTTCAAATTTTCATGAAATTTTACATCAAAAATGACTTTTTTAACACTCCGTGCGTAAAACATGGCTTTTCTAACCCCTCAGTGACACAAAAACCATGTTGTACGCACGAAGTGTTAAAAAATATGGTATGCAACTAGTGCCTCTAGAAGACGACTCATCCAGGAGTTGTTTTCGCCCGAGCGCAGCGAGTGATAATATACTATTTAAACATTTTTCATATTTTTTTACAAAGTTTACAACGCCGAAAAAATGTGTAAAAGTTCGTCTGTTTGGCCCGAACGGGTTAACCCGACTAAATTTTTATAATTTCATAATTTTATATAAATTTTATTTATTTTTTATGTATAATCCATTTTATGTTGATATTCCAAAAAATCAACTTCCTGAAAGGTATGAGTAAAAATTAATGCAATTTAGAAAGAACAATTTTTTAAATTTATATACACGTTTAAATTTTTGTATCCTTAGTTAAAATTATTTTTGTCGTTAAACTTTATTTAATATGTATATTACATACTTTTTATATTTTTAAATTACTATTATACTTTGATAATTATTTAAACAAATCCGCCAGCCTCAATTTATCTCACACAATATGGTCAGAACAGTTTGTTATTTTAAATAATATATTAATGGTTTTTTATTCAATGATTGTTTTTGTATTTATTACATTTATCTGAAATGATTTCATTTGATGTATATGGGTCAAAATAATACTTTAATATAAAATTGTGCGCACATATGTCACCGACCTCGTCCCGCTTTTGGTGTGTTAGTAGTAAAAAAGTCCCAAAACTAAAATTTTAGACCCCTAGGTCACTCGCACCCTCTACATTCCATATAGACGTCTATTATGTTGTCTATGACATACGTATACACAGTTTCATATTTAAGTATTATTTTGACCCATACATACATGTATATATATATATATATAATTGGTAATATTATAAATAATTTTTCTGATAAGTAATCTTATGATTAATTTTTGACTTTAACTTTAAGGAGACTATTTGCAAAATGGTTAAATTATTTACTATTGTTGGAATACCAAATGACATTGTCAAAGCAACATAGTCAAAAATATTTTTTTATCGCGTGCAATATTCTCCAGTTGAAAATGCCACTAACCTCCATTGTTTAAAAAATTATGGTGGTTGAAGCTTCTCAAAAATCTAAATGTAATTTCTGGAACAGAATAAATCGACGTGTAAACTACATTGAAAGATGAATTCAACTCTGCATAAAATAGCTTTGAATAAAACGCCACTGAAACTATATTACCAGTAAGATCACTTACATAATTCTTTGCAGAATGAGCGAAGTAAAATATTTCATTCCTGATTCAATGTTATACATAAATGTGGTGGATGTGATGTGAAATTAAATGTTGGCAGGGTGAGTAGATGGTATTTTTTAAAGTTAAAGAAATTTAAACTTCATTAATAAACTAAAATTCCTAAGATTACAAACCATAAAATTAAATATGCATAGTTTCACTTGAGTAATCAATTAAGTTACATATTAGATATTTTTCAATGTAAAAGATGGTTTAATACTATTCAATTCATTTTTATTAGTACATTTTATTTGTGAGAGCAATTTACAAATTAGTTTTTTTGATGGTCCCGAACAAATAAAGTGATCAGTTTAACGATTTCTCCACACGATTATCAGTTTATCAATTTATTAGCACTCTAGTGGGTAAGTAATAATTATTCAAATATTTAGAAAAAATGTATAAATTAATATTATCATTGATAAAACTAGTGTAATTATTATAAAGAGACTCAATATCTCACTTTTTATTAAATAATTGTTATTAACAAATAATACGAAATATAATCTCATGAAGCTTTTCGAATTTCCACTATCCGGCCGTTGCACCTTCTAATAAAATTATAGTAGCTGAAATTAAATTTAAAGGCTTGCTCGAGAGTTATTTCTAAATTTTACATTTTATCGCGGTAAAACTAGACGATGAGAGTTAAATTCATTATTAATCGAACTGTTGAGAGAACTATACGAAATCTAGATCGCCGATCTTTTATTCAAAATATTGAGGATCATCTACTAGATGAAAAAAGTGCCTGCTTATATGATGAAATTGACCTCAGAGCCTAGTTTGAAGTTTTTTTTATATTTTTTTATGTAACCATCGATTGCCCGATGACACATTATCGTCCACGAAGTGACACTTGTCTGACAATTTTAAAATTGCTATAAGAAAATTGAATAAAAAAATTTTTTAAGAGTCAGATTTACTCATCTATCGATTGAATTTAATAAGTAAATTTTAAATGTAATAAGTAAAAGGAAAGTAATCAGTAAAAAGTAAAATTAATGTATTTTGCACCTACGGAGTGAAAAACTCGAAAGTCTCAGAGCACGTGTAATTTTTATCACAAAAAGTATTTTTGATTGTCTGAGTATTTTAAATTTTCTTATGTTCTTGTAAAATACAATGATATCTTTTTAAACATAATATCCAGAAAATTAAAAAGGAATGATTTCTGTAAATTCCACTGTCAAATATCAAGAATCAAATCTCAAGATTCCTTATTTAATGAATAAATATTATGAATAGATTTTCACAAAGGACTTTGTTAACAAATACGTATAAATTTTAGAATATTTTAAATTATTCTACAAAATGTTGTTCTCCATCAGCTGTCCAAAATTCAATTAATTTTCAGCTTTTAGCACGTATCAAAATAATCACATTTGTAATAAGTAGGGGCAAAATTATTGTAAAAATATTTTCTTGAAATATTGTCTATTTTTAAATGTTAATTGTATCTCAGTCAATTTTTTACATACTGGGTAATTCTTTTTTTAGTTTTGTTGAAAATAGTATATTACTGCCCTAGGCCGCGAAAAACAGAAAAGTCCCAGAGTACATGTAATTAGTGGCCGAGGCGAAGCCGAGGCCGATAAACACGTGCTCTGGGGCTTTCTCTTTTCGTGGCATAGGCCTGTATACTATTTTTCATACACAGTGGCCCGAAAATAACTCTTCTCGTTTTGCGCAGCGGTCGAGAGACGAGAAGTAGTCACTTTCTGGCCACTGGTATGAAAACTTGTTTATTTAAAAGCAATAAATAATTTCAATGCATTGAAGTAGACACCAAATTACCAGTAATTACTTAAAGGCTTGTATACACCTTAAACTTGAAATATTTTTTATATTGAAATTTTTAGTAGGATTTTAACTCCTCTTTCCATTATTGAGAGTTTGAGAGTGACCTACGAGTTCGATCGTCTCACCCGTGGTAGTGGCCGTAACCATTCATGTTCTGAAGAAGTGTACGCGACCCTGGTGCAGAAAGCTCAATCAGTACTCTCTGAATATTACGACAGGTGACCAAAAACACGACTTTCCAGAAAACGCAAAAGAAGAATAAATTTAACACGTGTAGTATAGGAAAAAGGCTCACAGAAATAGCTGTATCTCAGTACAGAATCAACATTTTGGAGTTTTGAATAATGCAATGGAAGGAGGAGGAAAAACCCTACTCGAAATTTTAATACCGTTATGCTGATGAATCGACATATGTTATTAGTTTCTTCAAATTTTAAAGGCTTCTTCTTAGAATTTAGTCTCATTGGATACGTAAAAACACAGTTATGGTATATTGAAAATAAGTTAAAATTATTTTTCCAATAATTTTATGATTTTTCATAGCATTCTAACTCAGTTGGAAAAAATTGTGTGGATTTCTACGTGGATTATCTACGTGGATTATTTTTTCGATCATCTCTTTAAACAAAATTCCACGCTTGTATTCGTTTTCACGGAATAATCAAAAAACCTTGGCAGATTTTTACAAAAATGATCCACGCTGATTCCTCATGGAATTTATGCATTTTCCACATGAAATCCATATACTTTTTACTCAGAAACCCCACAGAATCTGCGTGGATAATCTACGTAGAAATCCATGCATTTTTTTCAACTGGGTTTTTAAACTCGCAACTTTGCTGCTACTTTAAACACAGGCGATTGCATGAGTCAGCTGCTTGTTTTACTTTATCTATTGACATGTTATTGCCCACACTTTTCAACACAAACACAAGAATTAATGTCTTAACTGTAGACATTTTTAAAAAAGATACTCACTTAACTCAAATACAGAAACTGATTCAATTCACTCTAGTTGTTCATATTGAAAGGTAGACAATGCCGTATAGACAGATTGTATGCAACTTGGGTGAATATGATTTTTCTGCAAAATAAAGGGTTACACAACACCAGCTGAAGGTGAGCGTAAACCCTTTGCAAGTACTATTTTACGTTATTATTGTACAGAGTTGATGCTTTTAATGTAGCAATCCTTCTAAATGATGGCTAAAATTATCTTTTTTTGGAGAAACTTTTCTTTTACGAATCCAATCGTAAAGTTTTGAACTTAATAAATTTGAAAGGGCATTTAATTTCGCGTCAAAATATGAGTTTATAAATTGCATCTAATTGCCAATTATATTGGAAAAAAGTGTGTGAAGGTTAAGATCAAAATTATTCGTGCATTTGGGCTCTAAAGCGTCCAATAGAGATTTGGAATACAGTGATTCATCGCACAATCTATCGAAATATAGTTTGGGATTTGCATCGCACTTGATACGCACGTGTGCTCAGTTGAGCACAACTAACATTACTCGGTTGCGCGAGAAATCGAGACTTACAATATCTCGGAGTAGTGTCAAAAATTGATTTGATTTGAAAATTAATTAATATTACAAAAAATTGTAGTTGCTTCAAACTAAATAAACTTTCCCGCAAAACTTGAAAAAAATCTTCCCCCATGCGTATATAGAATTAATACTTTATTTCTATTTAACAATTAACTTTATTATGTGTTCACTGTATGGAAGCTCGAGACTCTCTGATCGCGAATACAATCAGAATATATTTATAATAATCTGCCGTTGCTAAGCGATCGATGTTGGTGCGGCGGCGTTCGGTTGTCTCGCTACACTACCTCCCTGGGCAGTGTCCATGGAACCATCTTGAAAAAGAACTTGTTTGTCTTGAAAGCGACAAGTGATGTTGAAAATATGTGCAGGTTTAACACGGTCGACCGAAACGGTTTGAAGCTTATCTCGAATTTTCAAAGTCACAGTCTTCGTGTCCCTCTTAACGACTTCATATGGACCAGTATACGGCGGCTGCAGAGCTTTCAAAAACATGCCTTCCTTTAAAAAGACATGACTACAGTCCTTTAAATTTTTATGTACAAACACAACCGGGTTGCCATGCGCAGATGCAGGAACGGGCTTCAGATGCGACATGATTTTTCGTAGAGACGACAGAAGACATCGTGGGTCGCATTGACTCGCTGTCAAAGAATCTAAGTCGAAAAATTCTCCTGGAAGACGAAGTGTTTCTCCGTATACAAGTTCAGCTGAGGTCGCGTTCAAGTCGTCCTTGAAAGATGAACGAATGCCCAACAACACGAGAGGCAAGGATAAAGCCCAGTTTACCCTTGATTGTGCCATGATCGCAGCTTTTAGTTGACGGTGAAAACGCTCGACCATGCCATTGGATGATGGATGCCAACTTGATGTTAGGTTGTGCTTCACTCCAAAAAACTTCAAAAATTCTTGGAATAGATGCGAAGTGAATTGAGCTCCTCGATCAGAAGTGATTACCTGAGGAAAACCAAACCGTGAGATCCAGCAAGTCAAAAGAGATTGAATGACCGTTTCTTTGCTATTATCTGTCATAGGATGCACTTCTGGCCATCGAGTGAATCGATCTACGACCGTAAGACAATATCTGAATGACTGTGAAGACGGAAAAGGGCCAATTATGTCAATGTGAATGTGTGCAAAGCGGCCTGTTGGTTGCTGAAAAGTTCCAAGAGGAGATCGCACATATCTTGACACCTTTGATTTTTGACAATCTAAACAAGCTCGTGCCCAAGTACGGCAATCCTTGTCGATGAACGGCCAAACAAAACGATCTTTGACCAACTTGACAGAGGATTTGACACCAGGATGGCTCAAATTGTCTAGTTGATTGAAAATACGACGACGATATGCAGCGGGAACGAATGGTCGAGATTTACCAGTTGACGTGTCGCAGAAAATCTTGATCGCAGTACCGGGAACGAGTGTCTGCTCGAGTCGAAGCGAAGATTCATTATTTTCAAGAAGCTTACGTAATTCTTCATCACTTTCTTGAGCTTTTGATAATACTGTAAAATCCAGCGGCTGTGTAATGGCACTAATTCGTGAGAGAGAATCAGCGACAACGTTCTCGGGGCCTTTAATGTACTGGATGTCAGTTGAGAATTCCGCAATAAATGAAATTTGATGTAACTGAATTGGCGGGAGCTTTTCGCGATTTTGTTGAAATGCATGAATTAACGGCTTGTGATCCGTGTAGATGGTGAAGGTCTGACTTTCCAAGATGTGACGAAAGTGTTGAATGGCAGCATAAATAGCGAGAAGCTCTCTATAATATGCTGGCCAAGAGCTTTCTTTTGAAGTCATCACGTCGGGGTCACCAATATAGAATTAATACTTTATTTCTATTTAACAATTAACTTTATTATGTGTTCACTGTATGGAAGCTCGAGACTCTCTGATCGCGAATACAATCAGAATATATTTATAATAATCTGCCGTTGCTAAGCGATCGATGTTGGCGCGGCGGCGTTCGGTTGTCTCGCTACACGTATAAAAATGACGAAGATACGTGAAAATCATTTGAAAATTGATAACATTTCATTGAAAATGCTTTTGCTGTGTATATTTTGAATTTTTCAAAAGTATTTTAACCGTTTCTTCTTTGGTAGTGCATATAAACTTTTACCCTAACATAAAAGCATATAGAAGATTCAGAATTTGCTTGTACAAAAATATCTGCGGCGTCAAGCCACGCCAAGCCATTTTATAAGCTTTTATTGCCTTCTAACCTAAAAATCACAACTTTGCCGATAATTTTAGACTTTTGTGAGTAATATTGTATGCAACTTGTGTGAATAAGCTTTTTCAACAAAAACTTGTTGCAACGAGCAATTCGAAAGAAAAAGCATATCCGCACCAGTTGCTTAAAGTACTATATTGTATGCTGTTATCAAAGATTATTAATAACTGTTTATAATAGTACATTTATCATAGTTTGCCCGCTTCCGTAGGCGTACAAATGACATCGCTCTTGGACGGTCACTTTTTTGCTAAAGGGGAGAGCGGGGTGTGTTGGCATGTGAAGTAAGCTGTCAAAATGGCATATTTATCCTTAGTAATGAATTTTCTAGAGATGATATTTTCAGTAGTCATACACCACAGTAATAGCACTATCTCAGTTCAAGACATTGATCGGAAGAAATAAGCTATTTTGCCAACTTGACATGCCAACACACCCCGCTCTCTCCTATTCGGAATTGGGTAGTAATGAAAAAAGCTTTTGTGAAAATTGTTAATCATAAAATTTGATACATTAGAAACTTCGGATACCTGTTAGTACGTCTACCCATTGTTTAGACCGAAATGTGCTGCACCTGATTCACAGATCAATGAGAAAGTGCTGGACTTAAAAATGCATGATCTCAGTGATCAGTTTTAACTCTGATTCTCGGAAAAAAATAAATTATTTAAGGTAGCTCAGAGAACTAAAACAATTTTAACTATTTTGCATGAATTTTTGCAGAAATATTATTTAGATTTATACTTGATATACTTATCGTATATCAATCGAGTACAAAATTGCAGCATAGGTTTCCGAAAATGGGATTTTCATACATAGGCACTCACAAGATTCCATTAGAATTTAGTACATTTTACGCCATAACTTTTGTAATACTAGCTAGATCAATTATAGCTTAACCCACGAACGTGACTAGAGTAATATAAGCATAATTAAACAAATGATTTTTGATCCTTTAATTTTTAGTTTAGCGTGAGTGTATAACATATAACTGAAACCAGTTATAGTTTTCTTACATAAAAAATACAACTAATGTTGGTACTATGAGGTGGGAATTTTTTAAATAAAAAATAATTTTAATTAAGTGATACATGTAGCTCTGCTCCTCCCCCCCCTGCTTGAGTGATTATTCTCTGCTATATTAGAAACGAGGTTATATAAGTAAAGAGGGAACATTTTTGAATAATTTAAGTAATTACAAATATTTTAATCATTTTATATGTACATGTAAATCAAATTACATTTATTCACGTGGCTAATTTTTTTAAATTTGTTAGACAATGATGCAAAAACAAAATACTTTAAAAAATTGCATATCAAATATTCACAAAATTTATCCCAATATTTTGTTATGGCAGATTTAAAAATGGACGAAAATATTCCCAAAAGTAAAGTATCTAATATCAAGCGATGGAAAAACAAGAAAATATTCCCACGAAAATTAAAAATTGATAAGATTCGTTCAAAAGTTACGAAGAATGAGAACCCCGGTTCAGAGGGTGGTAACAATTCGGACGCACACCAATCTTATATTGTTGATGCAGAATCGAAGCATAGAAATAGTAATACTAATGAAAGTGTAAATCAACCTATTGAAGATAATCAGTCAAGGAGTACTGTTACTGTGCTTCAAAGAAAATTTTCATATTCAACGATTTCTTCGACTTCGAAAATCGGTCCGATTGAATGTGACATCGAAAACATACCTACGCATGCAGATGAACAAGAAAATGTGACACTTCAAAGCGCTCACTGTAATGAAAACTATGATGTAGTTATACAAGACGTCGAAAATGAAACAATTTATAATTCTCAAATTTATTCAGGTGATATGATAAATACATCTTCTTAATTAAAACAAAACTTCAATAAACAAATTTTGATTAACATTTCTCTTAATTGAATAGATACAAATCCTACTTTTCAAGACTCTGACAATCAATTTATTGATATAAAAAACTCAATCCATCGAAGAGATATCGATGAAAAAATGGAAAAAAAGAAGGAAAATTCTGAAATTTCTTCTGAAGCAACGTCAAAAAAATATATGGTATTATAAACTTTTCATAAAACTATAATAATTTTACTTTTTCAAATGAAAATAAAATTCACTATTATTTATACATGTTTATATAAATTAGCTTAGTACTACAACATTTTATCAAGTTAGATTTCTCGATTAGCATGTTTAATAATCTTCAATTACTTAAAAAAGTTAAAAATTTCATATTTTTTAAATGTGTTTGAGTATATTCGATTTATGTGAGTATGCAAAAATTCACGTAAATATGATCAATTTTCGCGAAGATAATAAATCTTTACAATATTTAAACATTTTGGAAAAAAGCATACCAAAATCGTTTTTTTATTGATGAATTGTAAGATATGTTTTTAACAATATTTCACATAATTTATTATTTTAATATAAAACTTTTATTTTTTTAAACAAACGCGGAAATGGAAATACTATTTCGCTAAATCAAAAACTGCCACCAATTACTCAGAAACAGTTCTAATTTAGCATTATCAGTTTTATTTTAACATTAAGAAATTATTGAGAATCAGAAAAGTATAGATGCAAGTTCAGACTTTAAAAATTTGAATCTCACATATTTTCTATATAATTTTTATTACGGATTTTTCATAAAAAACATGTTAAATAAAATTCCCAATTTATTAATTATGATGATAATATACGTATTAACTATTTGAAATTTACAACCTTTTTAAAAAATGTAGTTAAATTTGTTTTCTATACTCTATATTCTTTGAAATGTTTGCTAAATAAGGACATCGGCATGACGGTGCTTACGAAGACTATTATTTTTTTTTTAATTCAGATAAATTCCTGTATCGAAGAAATTCTATTTTATTCAAAATGCGGCGAAAAAAATCACTCATTCGATTCGTATTTCAAACTTTTCCAAAAACTTGTAATGACTAGATATAAAGACGCGGGGTAATTCTTACATCAAAAAACTATTCGGATTGATCTTTTTATCGTCTGAAATTCGGTCGATACAAATTAAAACTTTCTTATTGAGTCTTTGAGTATCTCACTGAATGATCAAAATTTTTAATTTTCAAAAAAATGCAATGGAAAGGGGACAAAAAATCCTCCTCGAAAATAATATAAAATTTTTTTGATTTTAAGCCCCCTTTAGCACTTAAGAAATATCACTTTGAGAAATTTCTGCTAAAAGAAACATTTTTCATTTTTCGACATTATATTTTTCAAATTCAGTGAGAACGTAAAGCAAAAAGTTTTGGACCGATCCTCTTAAAATTTGTCACATTTCTTTATTAATCCTCAAATCAGGTACTACTGTGGAGAGATTTCGATTTTTTAAAATTTTTTTTGGTTTTAACCAATTTTCCTAATACAGATCGATTATTCAATTTGACAATTACGTCGAAATTCAAAACATCAATATAAATGAAAAAACTCAACTTCAGTACCTAAAGAAACAAATAAACTAATCATATCGGTTTGAATTTGTCATTCTAGATTATTATAAAAAAAATTACGTGTATCGTCAACAATTTTTTTGTAGACTTAACATGTATTTCATAGAAAAACGTTATTTTATACAACTACAATAAATTAATTCAAAAATTAGGAAAAAATTGATCTAAATGAACCTTATCTCCTGTCCTGGACCTTAATTACAACTGTAATCGTTATGTATTACTACTAGAATAATTTTGGCATGCTTTGATCGAATATGCGTCAGCTCTATTAATAACTATAATACGGAGTGTTTTAGGATCTAAAAGCACAGGAATTATAAATTCAAAAATATTATTATAGGGTAAAAACACCTATTACTGTGCCCAAGACATAACCTTCAATGTCCTTATTACTGGACATTTGATTACATGTTAAAATACAGTAAAACAGACAGGCACAGTAATAGGTGTTTTACACCAGTTCCTGACAAGAATTTTGGTTCTCAATAATTATGCGGGTGCGCTTAAATCAAATTTCTGATCAAAATCTATGATCAAAAATATGGTACGCAACTGAACCGGTTGTCAATTTTTCATTCGTACCAATTCAACCCTCGCTACGCTACGACTGCAAAGTCTTGACACTCGTACAAAATAGACAACCTCCCGTCTCCGTTTTGTATAAATTTACTATTTCTGTGAACGTTCATATTCTTTGGCATGATGTTTATTTTTTGCAATGAAAGCCGTCTTCCACTTTTACTTACAAGGAGGCCCACCTTTGTATTGCAGATCTTTTCAAAAAATGTTATGGGGTCTACTGGTATAAAATAATAAAGCTCCCTATACTTACAAGGAGAGCTTGTGCGGGTCATGGATTTGCTCCAAAATTTTTTTGCGGTCTCCTGGTACCCAATACTGAAGCTCCCTGTGCTTAGTTTGATACAATAAGCCTTAGGGCCCATTTTGTAGAGGATTTTCCACATTATAAAAAAATCTTTGTTATTTTCTATATCGAAATAGAATTACTTAAACGAAAAAATGGTACGATCAAAAGTTTTAAAATTTTTCAAAGAATCTGCTTGAATTATTTCAGAATTTTTGGGACCATCTATCACTTATGATAAAATTGTTGCGCCTTTTTGGTAAATGTCAATATAAATAAAACAGCGATAAAGGCGGTGCCATAGTCAAATTTATTAAAACAGGCGGTGGGCGAAAGTGTGTAATCACACTCTATCTCGACACCTAGTCGACGTTTCGCCGACCACTTTGTCGGCCTCTTCAGTCCTGAAGAAACGTCGACTAGGTGACGAGGTAGAGTGTGATTACACACTCTCGCCCACCGCCTGTTTTAATAAATTTGACTTTGGCACCGCCTTTATCGCTGTTTTATTTATATTGACATCTATCACTTAAGGGGGGGGTAGGGTCTTGACTAAATTTCAAAAAAAAAAATTTTTTTTTTTTTTTTTTGAACATATAGTAAATCGAATTGATCTATAAATCATACACATAATTAATAGTTATTTGAAGAATATTCAGTTAAATTTTCAGCCCAAAATACTGAAAAATAAGGTGGCTACAGCAAATTTTCACATGCAACGTAAAAAAAATCCGGTGGACACCATCACTCAAAATCTACTCGACCGATCAACTTCATATTTTATACACTATTTAAGTAGATGATATATGAGGTAATGACGTCGAGATATTTTAACTTTTTGCATTTTTAAATGCTTTTTACGAACAAGTACGATGAATTTTTGCCTTCATTTTGTCAAAAAAGTCATTTTTTTCACTTCAAAATGATGCCAAAAACTCAAAAATCATTTTAAACGAAATATCTCGACGTCATTACCTCATAATTTATGTAGATAAATAGTGAGAAAAATTTGGAAAGAATCGGTCGAGTAGATTTTCAGTTACAGTGTCCACCGCAATCGATCTTTTTTTTTTCAGTTTTGTGAGAAAATTTGCTGTAGTTAGCTTATTTTTCACTATTTTAAGCTGAAAATTTAACTGAATGTTCTTCAAATAACCATTTATAATGTATATAATTTATAGATAAATTCATTTTACTATGTGCTTAAAAAAAATTATTAAAATGCAGCTCGAAAACCATCGAACAAGACCCTACCCCCCCCTTAATTCAAGAGGCCCAAATTTGACGCTTTTTTTTAGTAGATTTTAGGACTTCGTAAAGAGAGTGGTAGATAGTCCCAAAAATTCTGAAAAAATTCAAGCAGATTCTTTGACAAATTTTAAAACTTTTGATCGTCCCATTTTTTCGTTTAAGTACTTCTATTTCGATATAGAAAATAACAAAGATTTTTTTATAATGTGGAAAATCCTCTACAAAATGGGCCCTAAGGCCTATTGGATCAAACTAAGCACAGGGAGCTTCAGTATTGGGTACCAGAAGACCGCAAAAAAATTTTGGAGCAAATCCATGACCCGCACCTGAAAAGCTCTCCTTGTTAGTACGATCGATTGAATACCCTATTTAACCTATTCTACTGTTGTTGAAAATGGGGTCTGGAGAACTTGCGAGTAAGCATATTCTACTCAAAATTCAATAAACTTTTCGAATCCGGTGTCAGATTTTCGATATAACATACATGTCAAAAGTTATGGACGGTTGTATAAAAAAAACGTGATTTTACATGAAAATCTTCTAAATCCTAGCGTCTTAGTAATAAGTCTAAAAATGTTCAGAAATTTTAACTCCAGCTTTCTTTTCGATAAAAACTTGAACTTTAGAATCCTCATGACTAACGTGAATTCGAAAATTTTTGCTAAAGTGAACCACCCTAATGTACACTGGTTCGACTTTAAACCTAAAATGTTTAGCTATTCAGGGGAAATTTCGTAAACGAAATTTTTCATTTTTGTATGTGAAACTCCAAATAAACCTTAAGATCTTTAGAAAAGTATGATTTTTGTACAAGAAACTCAAAAATCTCTGGAATTTTGTGTACAAATTCTCCCCTAAAAAGATACTTCGAAAACTTAAATACAGCGAAGTAGGGGTCACTCTTGATACCCTAGTTGCTGTGTTTACGTTTTTCACAACATTTCAGAATTAAGAGAGTCAACCGGTGTTAAAAGCTTAAATTGAAATATAGCTATATAAATCGAAATAGAAAAAATTTTCTTTTTATTATAATAAGATATGTTCATTCTATACCTGATTGACCAAAAGATACGTCTACCCAAACTCTGAAATACTAATTATATCTCTTTTTTCATAATACTAAATATTGTAATTGGATTATACTTACCACGCGATTCTGACGTGAGTTCTTCATCAATATTGATCTATAGGATCTCAAAATTTTTAGAAAAGTTATACCCTCATCCCCTTGAGCGGAACAGAATTTGGAAAAATTGTGTACAACTTTATATACACGTAAAAATATGAGAATTTTTAAGAAAATCAATATTTTATTAACATTAAATGCCATATCGATTTTTTTCAAATCCTGCTCCGCTCAAATTAATGTGAGTACTTTAGTGAAGATTTTGAGACTTAATAGATCAATATTAATGAAGTAAGTAAATCCAATTACAATATTTAGTATTATGAAAAAAGAGATGTAATTAGTATTTCAGAGTTTGGGAAAGCGTTTGTTTTGGTCAATCAAGTGTAGAATCAACATATTTTGCTATCATAAAAAGAAAATTTCCACTATTTCCATTTATGTAGCTATTTTTGAATTTAAGTTTTTAACACCGGTCGGTTCCTTTGAATTCGAACCAGTGAACCTACATTTGATTTTGCATCTATTTATTGTATAAGATAAGATGAAGTAAATTTTCTTGGTAATATACAAAACATTTAGTAGACCATTTTTTTGTTTTTAAATATTTACCAAAACATGTCACAGTTTTGAATGTACAAAATCTTCACCATGAATAAATAGTAATTCGTATTTAATGTCGTTTTTTCAGGATATGACTACTAACGAAATTGGAGTGATCGGAGATAAGAAAGAATATTTATTCAAAATTCTTGTCATTGGTGAGCTTGGTACGGGTAAAACGTCGATTATAAAACGTTATGTTCATCAATTCTTTTCCCAACATTATAGAGCTACAATTGGAGTAGATTTTGCCCTTAAAGTGTTGAATTGGGATTCTCAAACAATTATAAGGTTGCAACTATGGGATATAGCAGGTAAATTAAAAATATTATTCTAAAATAAAAGCAGATTTAAAATTGTTGAATGAGCGTTATACTAGCCCGGAGATTATAAAAGTTATTGATATGAATTGGAATTATTGAGAAAATCCAGAAAATCAAAATCCTGAATATCATAATAGAAAATTCTAATAAATTTTAAAAGTATTGAGGTTCCCTATCACATGGGATTAATTTATGACTGGGGAAACATTCACTTATAATCTTCATCTTTCTCAACATTTATTTACCAAAAAAGTTGATATATTTTGCTACATCTAAGCAGAATTTAATCCTAGAAAAGAAAATTGACGAACATTCACTGAATAAGTTAAAGGCATTTATAAAAATTACTTCAAATTAGATACCGATTTAGCTAAACAAAAATAGACCCTGAAAAGTGTTTACCCAAAATATTGCAAAATGCTTTCTCATTAGACCCTGAAAACTACAACGTTGAACAAAAGAAAAAAGAAAAAGATAACTATGATGAGGAATGTGACAGTGATAAAAAAGGTTTTGACTTAGAAGAGGAAGACGATTTAAGCAATGAGTATTTACCATCTACAGGAAATTTTTCAAAAGTAAAAAGGTTCACGGGAGCTGAATGAAATGATTCAGTAAGGGATTTAGGGTCACCTAAACTTGGAGCAGAATACTTAGCTTCCTCTTTGAAAAGCAGAAATATGTTGAAGGGTACAAATATACAAATTTGAGATTATGTATTCTGATGCCAAAAATAAGTGAAAAAATTTCAGGCTTTGTTTTGCATTATAGCACCGTACATAAATTTTCAAAATTTTTTAATGGCTTTATCTGAAGTCCTGAAGCACTCAAAAAATCTGAAAAATTAAGGGCTATTTGGATTAATGAAAAGTATCCTGAAGAATTTTCTCAGATTTTTAAAATTAAAAACGGTTTTAGAATTAGTATTAGTAGAAAATATACGTTTCTACGAAGGATGAGGGATCTAAAATGTTGGCTTTGGGACCCATTTATTTTTCCAAGATTGGTGACATTTGTGCGATTTTTTAAAAAAAAGATCATTTGAAAAATTCTGAGCTTTACCCATATGCATTTACCACGGGATATTACACCTCATAGATTGGTAGTGGATAGTGTAACGAAGTTATGTCGACCAACGCAGAGTCCGACGATGATCTTCCATCCACCTTATCCTGTAAACTTGGTTAGTATATAGAGCGAGATAATTAGGAGCCTTATACGAGATCGACATGCTCACGTATCTCCTCTGAAAACCCATCTACTCAATTGTATAATCAATTGATTCGGATTTACACAAAAAGTAACTTAAGGGAAGTTATACGTACACATACATGTACTTAATGAAAGCGCTGGTCAGAGTACACCGAGCAGTTCACAGTTTATGAAGGAATCGGCACGTTAATAATTAAAAAGTGCTTAATTTTGCAATTTTCTGAACGCGTAGTTGATTGATTAACAGTTTTAATTAAGGTTTACTCAACGTTGTTATAACGTTGATACATCGTTTAGAAGATTTTAGGAAGCGGACATTTAAACGTTTATACAACGTTGCTTCAATGTTTATTCAATCCTTCTCTTAAACGTTTAAAGGTTGCAAATTAAACGTTTAAAAAACGTTTAAACAACGTTGAATGTTAATAGGGATAAATTTAAATAACTTCTATACTAGACTGATTTTTCAAAAACAGCTCTGTGGAGCCCACCGTATAGATCCTGTGAACTTGTGATTGCTGTGTGATTGCTGTGAAATGTCTTTCCGTTTCATTCAACGGTTTTTCCGGAAAACGTGATTGAAATTTTTAAGCCTGAACACTCAAATCAAAAATTTCAATCTCGTTTTCCGGAAAAACCGTTGAATGAAATAGGTTGAAATTTGATACAGTTGTTTAAAACTTCCATTCTGAGGGCTCCACAGAGCCGTTTTTCGAAAATTGGTCTAGTAAAGAAGTCATTAAAATTCACATTTTTAATGCTCGGTCGGTCAAAATCGGGGCTTCGGCATCACCTTAAAAAAATCAAAATATCAGCTGTATATAAAAACAGGTGCAAGATGTGAAACTTTCGGTACTTTTTATGATTTGTTTCAATGATTTTCCTAGATTTTTATTTTCACTTTTACTTTTTAATTCAAGTTTTTGTACTTATTTTTTCCTCTTATTATAATATTTCAAAAAATACAATTGGGGTAATACCATTCATTAAAACTTTTATTGATTTTTCAGGTCAAGAAAGATTCGGAAGTATGACTCGAGTATATTATAAGGAAGCTGTTGGAGCTTTTATTGTATTTGACGTTACTAGAAGTGCTACATTAGATGCCGTTATTAAATGGAAACAAGATTTAGATTCAAAACTGCAATTGGTTGATGGATCGCCAATACCGTGCGTTTTGCTTGCTAATAAATGTGATCAACAGAAAGAAGGTCTTGTAAATTCAATAACTAAAATGAATGAATATTGTGAAGATAAAGGGTTTGCTGGATGGTTTGAAACATCGGCTAAAAACAACATTAACATTGAAGAAGCTGCTAATTTTCTCGTAAACCAAGTAAGTTGGAATTTCACACTTTAAATTATCGAAATTAGAAAAGATCTCATGGTAACCCTATACAATCATCAATAACAATAAGTATAAAACAATGAAAATTCACCAGTCATTTTTAAGAAGTTGATCGTTTTGAACTAAATAGTGTTCAAATTTCAACAATTTTAAATAATCTATAATATTAAAATTTTTAAACAAAAAAAATTAATTCATCACTTTTGCTTAAGTCAATTTCTAGAATATTTTGATGTTCCCATTTGCCACATTTTGCTTGTAAGCGGAACTATAGATCGTTAGAATGGTATGAATGTGTTAATCGTATCTTGTTAAATTAGGATCCTTTACTTGGTTTTTTTGCGTAGAAATTTTTGATCAATACTTATGAAAATGTATTTACAAGGCCAAATGATGTACGAAGATATTATCACAACCTCAATTGAGAACTAAGACTTGGCATAACATACGCGTGTTTAATCATTTTTAATATTAATTTCTTGAAATTGATACACATATAATTGTCGATTGAATTTAAAGTTTTGCTTGCTACAAAAGAAATCGGCTCATTAAGCAAATCGGATTCATCGTCAATATTTAAGAAACTTGCTATACACCCTCATTAATGTGCTATAATGAACGCTTATAGCACACCCTTATATCAAATAATACGAAGAAATTCATACCAAACAGTACGTCATGATCGAGTTCGTTCATATCCTTACAGTTTATTGATGCGTTATATTCCGTCGATGCGATTAAATGTAAACTTCCAGCGATTTTATTTATATCACTGTTGGCTAGGCGGACAAGCGTATTACACAGCTTTTCCTTATCCTTTAAAGTAGCCCCGGATCGAATAAAGTTCAATATGACTCCTATGGGCGAAATCGCGTTTCACTTTCGTCCGAATAATAATCGAGGAGTCTATTTCCATGGAACACAGCACACAACAGTTGGCTTAACCACAAAAGAAGAAACTCCATTTTGAGACGTACGTGGTGTATCTAGTTAACTTTCCATGTGTGGACATGCGCTCCTCGATCTCGACTTGAGTGTGAGCGTAACTCTTGGCTGAAAACGACCAATTACCCTAGTCTAAACATTTACTTTAAGTTCATCTCGAATTGAAAAATAAGAGAATAATAACATAATTTGGATATTCAAACAATTTTTACTACTAACATTTTTAATAATTTTTAAACACTTCGAAAATGTACAACCAATTAGCTTCCACAGTACCAATTTTTAAAATATCACTTAAATACACACTATAAGATTACTAAGCGAGCCTCTCTCATGGAAGTATTAAAAAATGTATGTTTATCTGGTGTAGAAGAAATAACGGTTACTGGTTATTAACATTCAAAAATAATCGAGGTTTTCTAAACTTACCTTCTTTATCACTTAAGACTGATTCTTATTTGATTTTTTAATCAAACGTGTATTGCAACTAGTAATTCGAGTAGTCATATCATCTTGCAAATTCAAGTTTTTGATAAGGACAAATGTATGCTACTTGCCAACTTACTTCGAATTCCCATTTTATGCCAGTCCCGCTCTAGACCTTCATGGAATAAGTCAACTCGATCGTGCATTCAAAAAAACATCCAAATAGACTGAAACTTACAGCATTTTAAACTTAATTTACTAGTGATCTAATCAGAAACTTTTAAAAAAAAAGGAGGGATGGTTTTCGTTAAGGGCGGCGCACTGTTGTTTCTGTGTGTAAGAAGATGGAACATTGCGTTATACAAAACAGCAAATTTGTTATTACACACAAGACTCACTTTTATTAAACAAAAGTAAACTAAGAGTACGCACTTATGATTACTTAAAATAGTAATATTATGATACATCGAAGCCCATTATTACATGGCACGATTGGCACCCGAGCGCAGCCCGAGGGTGCGAGCGTCATGTTTAGAATGGGCTACTTGAATCACAAGTATCATATGCTATTTATAGCACAACAAAGCTAAGTTCACGTTTAGGCCCTACTTGCCGATATGTAAGTAGCTCATAATAGCGTCACGGTGCAATAATGAGCAGGTTAAGTTACGGCATAGTGTGCCTTAAAAGTAAACTTAAGCTACTAGGACTATAATTAACGCATAAAATCTGTACAGGTAAATCGTCTAGATCTTCGGCGAAGGCGTCCATCATGATAATGTCGTCTCGTCGGGCTCAAGCGCCTGTTGATAGGCTGCAAAACTACGAGTCCGTAAAGCTGGAGAGTTGGCGTTGGTTATTTATTAGATCGTTATTTATTTAAAATAATTCCATAGGACGCCATGCTGTGAATTACCTAAAGTTTAAAATTTGCGTTAAGTTCAGGGCGTATTTTTCGAAGTCAACTCTAACAAGTTGTATGTAAATTTGACTAACATAAGGCTTCGTCTTACTTTATTGATCTGCAAATTTGAAAAAAAAAAACATATTAAATGTACACTGCGGAGACCATGTTGAGGTAGCCAAACTAGATGTAGGTTATACGAGAGTTATTTGATCAATTGTTTCGTTAACCCGATGTGCCACAGCTCAATTCATAGTTGTGACAACCATCACATAGGTGTATTAGGTTCCTGTAGCACAATCATAACAACACAATTTTGTAGAGCTATTAGGCCTCCACATTAGATTCCCAACATTCGATCTGCTACATACATGTAAAAAAGAGCACACAAATTTGACTATAAGAGAAAAATAATTATAATCATAAACTTTTTTTGTTTTAGATACTACAGAATGAGCAAATAATAAAGGAAAAGTCCGAAGAAAATGCGCATTATCAGGAGAAGCTATTGCTGAATGAACAAACTTCAGGAGATAAAAAAAGTTGTTTATGTTGATTAGTATACACATGAGAAATTCCATTCTTTTGAAAATAGAATTATTTTTAAAATTATATGAATAATTTTAATTGCAACCTTGCATTTTTCACTAGAACATGGAATAGCTAATAATAAACATTTACACGATAAACTTTATATTATTTGAACTTACAAATAAAATTAATTGTTATTATATGCTGATAAACGGTAGTTTCTCGTACTTTATATTTTTATTGACTTATCTACCGATAAATATTTATGTAATTTTAGTATAGTTTTATTGCTATGAACTTTATTCTGAATTTAGTCAAATTCTTTTCAATTTATGAAACTGCTAAAAGCAGCGCTCAACGTGTCAAGATTAATCGAGTTTTACATCAGCTCTCACCTTACCTGGAGTACACGCATGATTTGATTCTGCCGCACCGTCCTTATGAACGATTAGAACAAATCATTAGCTGAACCTTCCATCCTCGTGAATGAGAGGGGACTTGTGGCTTTTTACTGAAAGTGAGACAGACGCTGGCTTAACAAATAAAGATTCAGCTCGATAATTACCCAGTTACGTCGTGTTGCGTGTGTCGTCACGTGATTTTGACCGGCTATTGACATGCATCGACGAGCGTGCAGATGTGTCTGCCATTGTCATCTCGCGTCAAATTAAAGTTTGTAACAGGCGTGAAGATCGAATTGCGATTCAAACTCAGAATCAAAAAAAAAAACTGCATGGCAAGAATGCTCCAAACAACTTTCCTGAATAACTTTTTTTCAACTGATGCCAACGATTGAGAGAAAACTATAAGTCCGATTCTTATGTTACATACTTCTTTTAAATCTTTACAACTTTCTGTAGAGAAACCGCTAAAAGGCAAAATCATCGCTCATTATTTTACGAAGGTAAAAAATAGCATTTCATTACAATTTTTTAGAAAAACTTATGTCCAAATCTTAAAAAAGAAAAGATAAACTTTTTAGAGATACACTCGGCAACAAAATTATCGCAACAAAAAAATTCATCGAAATTTTGTCGATTTTCAAATGCTTCTATCTTGGGCTAGATTTATCGTATCGACACGCTTTTTTTTTAATTTCTTGGAAATTTTGTCCTCTTTAAATCCATATAAATTAAGATAAGATTTGAGTTAATGTTGAGTTACCAGTAGTATTTGAGCGTGACCCTAAAAATTACTGAAAAAAAATGACTGTTTGAACGTGTACCAGTGCCACAGTGATTTTTGTATCGAAATCTAACATACACCATCGCAAAGTGCTCTTTTCAACGAGTAATTTAAAAAAAAAAAGACCTCTCTACGATTTTTTTAACGCCCTGTAGGTCGATTTGAAGATACCATTTAAAGTACGTAAAATCCCCCGTTTACCTGAAATCAAGACGATTTTCTGGTCATTTTGCGTACATAAACCGTACCTTCAAATCGACCTACAGGGCGTTAAAAAAATCGTAGAGAGGTCTTTTTTTTTTTAAATTACTCGTTGAAAAGAGCACTTTGCGATGGTGTATGTTAGATTTCGATAAAAAAATCACTATGGTACTGGTACACGTTCAAACAGTCATTTTTTTTCAGTAATTTTTAGGGTCACGCTCAAATACTACTGGTAACTCAACATTAACTCAAATCTTATCTTAATTTATATGGATTTAAAGAGGACAAAATTTCCAAGAAATTAAAAAAAAAAGCGTGTCGATACGATAAATCTAGCCCAAGATAGAAGCATTTGAAAATCGACAAAATTTCGATGAATTTTTTTGTTGCGATAATTTTGTTGCCGAGTGTATATCCTTTAGAAAAAGCTGTAACGACAAAGAAGACATATGAAACATGAGAATATGACTTACAAGGAGAGCTTTTCAAGTCCGGGTCATGGATTTACTCCAAAATTTTTTTGCGGTCTCCTGGTACCCAATACTGAAGCTCCCTGTGCTTAGTTTGATCTCATGGACCTTAGGGCCCATTTTTTAGAGGATTTTCCACTTTATAAAAAAATCGTTGTTATTTTCTATATCGATATAGAAGTACTCAAACGAAAAAATGCAACGATCGAATTTTTTAAAATTTTTCAAAGAATCTGCTTGAATTTTTTCAGAATTTTTGGGACCATCTATCACTTAATTCAAGAGGTTCAAATTTGACGTTTTTTTAATAGATTTTAGGACTTCTTAAAGAGAATGATAGATGGTCCCAAAAATTCTGAAAAAATTCAAGCAGATTCTTTGAAAAATTTTTAAATTTTCATCGTTGCATTTTTTCGTTCAAGTACTTCTATATCGATATAGAAAATAACAAAGATTTTTTATTTTTTTATAATGTGGAAAATTCTCTAAAAAATAGGCTCTAAGGCCCATGAAATCAAACTAAGCACAGGGAGCTTCAATATTGAGTACCAGAAGACCCCCAAAAAAGTTTGGTAAAGATCTGTGACCCGGACCTGAAAATCTCTCCTTTTTTTTCTCAATCGTTGGCATCAGTTGAAACGAGAATTAAAGAAAATTCCGTCTATTCTTTCGAACGTATTTTAGTATATAGGCTTTATAACGTTAATTTAAACTTACAAGGAGAGCCTTTCATCTTTGGGTCACAGATCCTTACCAAACTTGTTTAGGGGTCTCCTTGTACATAATAATAAACCGCCCTATGGTTACTTTATTTCAATGGGCCCTGAAAAGAGTTATAGAGCAGAAAAAAGTATTAAATATAATGTAATGTTAAAAAATACCACTTATTGGTATCAGGCCTTGTACGGTCAAGTCCAACTCTCTCAAAAATATTTGTACATGAAATTTTATGCATTATAAACACTTTGGTAAACAATAAACAATTGAACTCAATTGTTTTGTTGTGTCAGTTTTGAAGAGCATACCAATTTGAACTAAAATTAAAGTACCAAACAATGAATATTGATGTAAATTATATGAAAATGTTTTTATTTATATAGCTCATAAATCCCTTCTCTTCAACTATTCTTGACTTTTCATCTGGATTCAGATTAACTCCAGATGAGTGTCAGAAATAGATGAGAAAGAAAGAACAGTAAGTTTTACGAATGAAAACATTTTTACATGATTTAATACAAATATTACTTGATAAATGCATAAATTTTAACTCAAATTGATGCGCTCTTCAAAACTTACACAGCAAACCAATTGAGTTAAATTGTTTATTGATTGAAAAAGTGTTTTGGACATTAAAAACTTAAAGTATAAATACTTCTCAGTCAGTTAGACCTGACTGTGTAAACCCGATACCCTTATACTCTATTATATGGTATTTTATACATTTCATTATATTATATACTTCATGGTGCTTTATAATGGTTTCCAGGGCCCATTGGAATAAAGTAACTATAGGGGGCTCTATTATTATGTACAAAAAGACCCCCAAACAAGTTTGGTAAGGATCTTTGACCCAAAGATGAAAGTCTCTCCTTGTAAGTATATACTCTTAAAAAGTACACTGAAAAATGGAAATCCTGAAATTTTTAGCCCTCTAGGTCCGTCCTACTTGGATCTGTTGTTACAAGGGCTCAAAGTTGAAATTTTTATTTTTCAATTTTCTTTCTATTTCCTAGGGTGAATATGAAAAAATTTTTTGAAAAATAAAATTTGATAAAAAAGAAATTTTGCAAAATTTGATGAAAAATTTAGATACGTTATCAAAAATCATATTCATAACCTAAAAGTGAGTAAAGTTTCAAAAATAAATATGTTCGTATACATGATCGATGCTCCTAAATGGTTCCTATTGTTTCAACTATCACCAAACTTTATCAAAAGTTTTATTTTGATAAACATATTTCAATTTCAGCCTAATCGATAGATACGAACAAATTGGGTTTTGAGGTTAGTAATAATTGTCATGATTTAAAAATTGTGTCATATTAACAACACAAAAGGAAACTGAAATATAAAAAATAAAAATGCAACTTTGAGCCTCTGTAATATTATGTAGGCTAGACATAGTGGGCTAAAATTTACAGAAAAGAAATTAAATTAATAATTTTTCGAAAAATTTCTATTGCGTAATTCATATTTTTCCAACGAGGTGCTATTTCGCTCTTGATCTGAATTGATGAAATAAAAATAAGTATTACGGTCATCCGTGTTCACGAATTTGTGAAAAAAAATTTTCCAGATCTTATTTGGATTCTGGTAAGTTTTTAATGTACAATATATTAACCTTTAGAGGGCCAAGATTTCAGAGGTCATATCATTCATACAAAACTGGTATTAAAAGTGTAGGCAAAGGGTCGATCAGAAGGTGCGCCAATATATTGACTTTCCGGACCTATAAAGGTTAAAAAGAATTAATAGTTTGAAAGAAATTCAACCAAGATAATGTAATTTAAAATTATTTAATTATTTTATTAATTCAATATACCTTACACTCTAGTCATATTTTGGAAAATCTACAGCTTTTACAACATTTACTACTTTATAACTTGGGAAAAGTCCTACAACACCTGTTCTTAAATTTCTACCTTTGGAATATCCATTCCAGTGATTTCCATAAACTTCTATCTTATCATTGAATTTCAATTCAATTTCTCCTTTTTTTCGAGGCACGTGATTGTATATAACTATCTGTGGGTTTGGATTTTGACCCCCGTAATAGTATATGTCATCTAACGATGTAAATTTATTGCTAGCATCGATTGAATATGTCTGCATTAATTCATATGCTACGCGACATACTTGAGAGCTGAATGTACATACTATATGATCACACAGTGATAAAAAATGTATATCCATTATTATACCTTGAAGGGATAAATTAGAATATCTCCTAGCGATCGATGCAGTCTGCGCTATGTCAGTATCTGCAATTATTTCATAATTTGGATATCGTTGCCTGGCAGTTATGATAACTTTAGGATCATCACTTGCTAAGTAAATTCTTCTTTTTTCAGGAGGGTTCTTCAGATTATTGAAATATTCTTCGACTTTCAACATATACTCGTCAACATCATGGAAAGCAGCTTCAGTGCCTACTTTATCCGTACGACGAACATGAACTCCTACAATAGGTTTGGTAAATTTCATTTTTTCTTCTTTTTCCGAAAGCAACATTTTGGTCTCTATCGTTGGTCGCATCAAATACTTTAAGACCTGTCCTATCCACCAAACCAATGGATAATTATGAACTTTTCTGAGTCTTTCTGCTAAATCCGATGGAACACTAGGTGGTTGGAAAATAGGTTTTGGGAAAACATTGTCGACTATTGGTAAAATGACTACTTGTGTGTTTTCATCTCCAGGCCAATTCGAATGTGTCTGACCATTTGCTGATAAACATGTATTACTAAGAGGTTGGAAAACTGATTCCCACCCATCTTTTTGATAACGCCAACCTTTAGATTTAAGAATAAGAGTTCTTTTAGTGCCATAAGCTACAAGAAAACAGTACACAAGATGATGAATCTTAAAAAAAAATAAATATATTTAACTTTACAAAAATATGAAATATTGTTTTAATTAGATATTTTAGAAAGATGTTTGTTTTATACCTGACAACCAAACCCGCAGCCTTTGTTAATATTGCATATTAATTTTCGGGCATTATCACAATCTACTGGATTTTGTAAATTTCTGAAAAATAATGAATTATAAATGTTAATTTTAAAGAATTCTGTGGAAAATGGAAGAAAAGTACTTTCCAAAAATTAAATTAAATTTTTTTCTTAAATTTGAAATCACCCGGAATCTGGTGGTATGTTTTTGGTTTTTTTTGAACACCAAGCAAAATTCGGAGATATTTTAATTCAAATTTGGAACTTTTTGACCTGCCATAACAAGGGCTCTTACGGCAGAGAGCGTTAATTTAATTTTCTTACACAAAATCGAAAGTTCAATAAATAAGACTATGATAGGTTCAAAGAGCAAGTTTTTATCTTTCCCATGGTACTTTCAAAAACATAGGTGACCAGGGGAAAAATTTTTTCACGTTACAAAAGAAAAAATGACGTTTGCGACGGCCTGGTACATAACCGTAGCATCAATTTACTAGCTAAGTAGGCGCGAGAGCCACTGCAATAGCCCATATAGCAAATATCAAACAGAGCCGAAAAATATAAGTTTACAGTAGTGAAAGTCGAGTGTCAGACACTCGATGGGCCAAATCTTGCTAACTTAATTTTTAATTTGCCGTTTCTTGTAAATAAAGTGTCCCATCTTAAACAACTTTTTCTAAAAACTTGGAAGAGTCAAGATATTTATTATATATTTATAAACATAAATAATGTTATTTAAACAACCGAAAAAATATATTGAAAGTAAGAAGTTTTAATAAAATATCATTACTAATTAACGATTGTTGAGTATAATATTGAATAAAGAATTTAAGTACGTTTAATTCCAGTTGAAAAAGTTTGCGTAGATTTCCACATGGAATCTATAAATTTTTCACGTAGTATCCACATAAAATCTGTGTACTTTTCATAATTTTTCAAATCTTGTACAGTTATCAAATTATACTAACCTGAAACGTTGCTGAACAAGTGTTGATAATTCCGTAATCTCATTTTTCCTCCATGAATTATAACCATCTGATTCCGATAAATCTTTGATATCAATTAATAAATATTTTTTGTATTCACTTAACTCCTCTAACGTATCTTTTATATCATTTTTGAGAGTTTCATCTTGGACTTTTTTTTGCAGTAGTGATAATTCAGAATTGATGAAAAACCTGATATAAAAATATATTTTAAAGTATCATTAAAGTTAAAAGTAAATCAAGAATTCAATTGAGGAAAATATTGAAAATTTAAAAAAGCCTAAAAAAAGTATGTTGAAGTTTACTTTTTGTGTCTGTATAAGTCATGGATATAAGACCTTTTCTGTTCTATCTTTTTCTTTATTTCATCATTTAGTAGTTTCATTCGATTTTCTTGATTTTTTGTTAAAAATAATTTTTTTAAATTAAAATGAAAGTTTTTATTAGGTATTAATTGGGTTTTTAATGTTACTTTAATTTGTTTCTATACTTGTTTCTTCATTTTCAATTGTTTACATTTATTAAATTCATTGAAATCGTTTCAATCTAAATGTATACGTTTCGAAATGACGCTCATGTTTCTCTCTCTCTCTCTCTCTCTCTCTCTCTCTCTCTCTCTCTCTCTCTCTCTCTCTCTCTCTCTGAGTATAGCAACACGCACTTCTTTCTGCTCCTCAGCCTTTTTGCTTTTTGTACTTCCTCAACTAATTCGGCTTTCGTTCGAGCCATAGTACCCAGCATGCCTTGCTGCATCTTACCGACGTTGTTAGAGCCGAAATTGACGACGGCCTGGTCACTCGACTTATGTTGTTTGACCTGCGCAAGGCTTTCGACATTGTGGATCATGTTGCACTTTTAAGATCTCTCCGATCGTTAGGGTTCTCTGATTCAGCTCTTACATTCGTACACTCGTACATCACGCGGAGAACGCAAGCTATTATTTGCAGTGACGGGCGTTCTTCGGATTTTGTGACGGTGACATCTGGTGTCCCGCAGGGGTCTTCTCCGGAGCTGGTGTTATTTCTTGCCGCTATAAACTCTCTCCCTGGGTGTCTCACGTATTGAAGAGGTAACTAGGTGTTGTTTGCTGATGACACTCAGCTGTAAATTTAGTTTCGCCCTGACGAGATAGAGTGCGTTATAGCACAGTTGAATGCTGATGCAGATTCACTTTCTCACTATGTTCGGTCGCTGGGTCTGAGTTTGAACGCGGCTAAGACTAAGGACATCATATTCGGTAGCAATCCTTCTTTGAAATATGTCAGAGGTCGTGTACTGCCACCTATTGTTGTCAACGGTCAGGTGGTACAGATGGTTGACCGAGTGCGCAGCCTGGGCGTTGTGCTGTCCAGTGATCTGACGTGGGATGCTCATCTGTCACAGATTTCCTCCGGAATTCACTGTACCCTTCATAGGCTGAGAGCTCGTGCCTGGTTACTCTCGCCTAGTATTAAGAAACTATTGGTTATGGATCTGTGCAACGGAGACACAGGCCTACTTCCGCCAAGAAGAGTCAATGCACCGACGAGCGTGCCTGTGCGTGATCAGTGGCCGTCCTCATGTCTCCTATGAGGCAATGTACGTCCTGGCCGGTATACCATCACTGGCCCTCTTAGTAGATGAGCGCTCGCGGATCTACCTACGCCGCACAGAGGACGCCAAAGAAGAAGAACGCCTCGAGACGTTGAGAAAATGGTAGGAGCAATGGGACCGGTCGACAAAAGGCCGCTGGACCCACAGGCTCATTCCAAATATCAGAGAGTGGGTTGAGAGGAAACATGGAGAAGTGAATTACCATCTCACACAACTCCTGTCCGGGCATGGCTATTTCAGGCACCACAGCCGGCGCTACGACAACACCATCAACGCACAGTGCCCGACCTGTCCCCACATGGTGGAAGACGCAGAGCATGTGTTCTTCCACTGCCGGGGGTTTGACGAGGAAAGAAGAAGACTAAATGTCCTCTGCCAAGAAGAAATGACGTCCGAGAACATCATCGGACTCATGCTCACGAGCGAACTCAACTGGCACGTGGTGGCCTCCTTCGCCCACGCAGTCGTGACAAGACTGAGACACGAGGAAATGGCCAGAAGAAGATGACCGGACGATGCAGTAGGAAGCAGACGGTGCGCTAACCAGCCCTCAGAAAGAGCAAACTGCTAAATCTTCCCTCCTGCGAAGTAATGCCTAACGGCGGTCCCGCGGGGACCAAGAACAACAACAAGGGAACAAGAAAGGAGAAGATGGATCGTACATAAATTATGTAGAAAGCAAGAAAAATTATTACATTGTCAAAAAATAATGTAAAAACTTTTTTATTGTAACTATTTTAACTTTTTCTAATAAAACCGATCCATCTTAAAAAAAAACCGCTGCCAATGTATTGGCAAGTAGCTTCCTCATACTTTTTTTTTAACTTAAAAATAATTTGAAAATATTAATATCATCTTTCTAATTACAAAAGCGAAACGAAAGCGCCTCTCAGCTTTATCGGGTATCTCAAACAAACAATGCAAAAAAAAAAAAATTTTTTTCTTAAATAGAAAAAAAAACGTTACGTTTATCGATAAATGAATTTTTCTGGCTTCGTCCCTATGTCATAACGAAAATAATAAGCCCTCCCCCGTCACGATACGTGCTACCGTTATCAAGGAATCACTCTACACAGCCATACAGCCGCATACACCCACATACATTCCAAAATGTGTCAAAAATTCGATCTAGTATATAGAAATATCATTAAATATATCCTACGATAATTATATACGAAAGCCTAAATGTATCCCATCACAAAACTTCCTATATGAGGGAGCAAAAGGAAGAAAACGACAATTTCCCGCAAAAAAAATTTTTCCCGTAAAAAAAAATTTTTAAAAATCGAAAAAAAAATTTTTTTTCTTCGTTTATCGCTAAATACAATTTTCTGGCTTCATCCTTACATCATAACGAACAAAAAAAGCCCTCCCCCGTCACGATACGTGCTACCGTTATCGAGGAATCACTCTACACAGACATAAAAAAATTTCCAAAAATTTTTAAAAATCGAAAAAAAATTTTTTTTTCTTCCTTTATCGCTAAATACAATTTTCTGGCTTCATCCTTACATAATAACGAACAAAATAAGCCAAACCCCGTCACGATACGTGCTACCGTTATCGAGGAATCACTCTACACAGACATACAGCCGCACACACACACACACACACACACACATACATACCAACATGTGTCAGAAATTCGATCTAGTATATAGAAATATCATTAAATATACCCTACGATTACTCTATAAAAAAGCCGAAATGGAGCCCATCACAAAGCTTCCTCTATGAGGAAGCAAAAAACCATTGGTGCAGGATTAGGTTTTGCCCCATCTGGATTACGCTTGTCTAGTCTATAATAATTTACCGGACAGCCTAAATCTTAAACTACAGCGCCTGGCAAATGCCGGCGTTCGTTTTATTTTTAATATGCGACGCTCTGACCACTCTTCGTTCACTCGGGAAGGGAGCAGCTTGGGTGAAGTAGAATCGAAAATAGAAGGTTCTTCTGACTCTGTTGTGTAGTGTACTCTATTTTCCACACGGGTCTGCCTCTACCACTCTATGAGAAGATATCCTCGTCTGTTGTTGAGTTTCGCAGATTGGCTAGGCTGAATGATGGATCTAGGGTTTATATACCTATCAGTGACACGTCGGCATATCACCGGTTTTTTTTTCCAGGACGCTGCGCAGTGTTGGAACTCGCTTTCGTACGAGGCTCAGGGTGCTCTATCGCTGGCACACTTTAGGTCTCTCGTGATCGGTGCGTTACAGCGAGGCGATATTCATTAAGCTCATTTTCACTCATTTTCACTCATATCACAAAATTTGTATGTACAATTGTCATATGTATAAAAATATACCCAAAAGATATGTATTATAATTCATAAAAAGATACTTATAAGATATGTAATATAATTTAATATGTGAATCGCTTCGTCTGGTGATATATTGTGCGGTTGATTCTTATACTTGTGTAAATATTTGTTTCTTTTTGATTTTTTTTGTAAACTGTATGTCAGCTTTACTATTTTTGTTATGTCTGTTATTATTAATTAATTTTGTTATGTTTGTAAATTTTAAATTACATATTATTTTTGTCAAGGCGAATTATCCTACCTATATTTTTGTAATGTTATACTGTTGTACGCATTGGTGGAGGCATTCGGCATTGCCTTGTCTAATAAAAATTAATTCTATTCTATTCTATTCTCTCTGCCAATGAGTCAACAGGCTTCATTGGTGTGTGCCGAATTCTTGGGCGAAAAATTTCGATTCTTTTTATCCCCTTATCTATGGCTGCTGCGTATTGTATTGTGTTTAATTGACTTGAATCGTCCAATTTGTAAAGCGGGTAAACGAAAGCGTCTGTGCCGTGCTCGGCTGCCTTTGTTTTGAGATGTCTTCGCAACCAAATTCGTCGAAGTCGAGCGAAGATACTTTCCGTATATTTGACATGCTTGATACTGATTAATCGTTCCCGCATTGACATTGCGGTGAACGATGTTCGGATACCTTTGCGCTGAATTGAAGGCCACTCTGGGCGTATTGAGGCTCTTGAAGCTCGCCAAAAACCCCTTGAGTGCTATCTTCTAAAGGCGAAATCATGCCCCGAACTGAAAATCATGGGTATTCCACCTGACCTAGCTTGCACCGCTGACTCAGATCTTCGTCACCCGTGAGCTTTGATTTTGGAGCTTTTTGGAGCTGGACATACCATCACCGACGTCCAGAAAGTTTTCGAAGTACATTCGAAATATGTGCACGATTTACTTCGGAAGGTGAAGGATGTGGCGAAAGAACGTGGCTACGGTTAGACTCGTGGTGGAATCCCGTTTGCAAAGAAATGTGATGGCAGCGAGATCATTGAAATACTAATTGAACCAGATTTAGAGACTTTGGGCATTTTTTGTATTTTTTATTGTGATTGCTAGTGAACAACTCTTGATTTATTTGTATTTGTGAAATTTGTTGTGAAAAAGTTGGTAGCCGCCCGTTTCTCCGATCCCGTTATTCCGACGGCCATTTTTCCGATTATGTCAAATTTCCGATTTTACATTATTCCGATTCCGTTTTTTCGACTACCTATTTTCCGATTGTATAAAATTTCAAACATAATAATTCAAATATCGCCGAAACAATAATATTATGGT